TGGCGATCACCAGGGAAACATCTTTATGTTTGATTTGTCAAAAAACAGGTATTTATTTGACCTTTTAATTCATCTAATTACACGTAAATATACATTGTAAGATAACAGGAATTTTAGGCTTATCAAGTTTTTTTTTTGTAATTTTGAAATTTAAAATTATGCATCTGCAGTTAAGGAAATGCCTGCGAAGTTAAAATATATTAAGTTGCCTGTTTATAGTTTAATATTACATGTACATTCTAACAAAATGTCCCTGAATTTCATTTCTTTATATTCAAATTAATTTACATTTTGTATTTTCAGGTTTTCTCTTGTTCAGAAATGTGGGTCCCCTTGTACAGCTATTGGATTCTGTTTGAGGAAAAAGTCAGAATTTCTGATAGGACTTTCAGATTACTCACTGAAATGCTTTGACACAGGTAATATATTATTTTTCACAACACCAAACAATACTGGTATATATTTTATATGTAGTATAGTAACTGGATGTTATCTTTTTATCTTTTCTTTTATACTGCTTCTTAAGAGTCAAGCATTACGGTCTGTGATAGCGCACTGCAACCTAAATGTGATTCTTTCGTGACAAATAAATGATATTAATTATGGTAAGAAAATAAATACCGAAAGCTAATATATTTTGTATGTTGTTAAGGTGATAACCTGAAAATGTAGTTATCCCTATATTTAAAAAAAACCCCTATATTTAAAGATACAAGAGAGATGGTTGCGTGGATGAAGGGTCATGAGTCTGCTATACACAGTATATCAGTGCACGCATCAGGTAGATATGCCCTCACTACGTCCTCAGATACTGCACAGTTATGGGATCTGGACACATTCCAGAGGAAAAGAAAACTGTCAATCAAAGAAGATGTTGGAATAGTGCAGGTATGATTGATTGTTAAAAAAAATTGATGTTTTAAGAATATTTGTCTATTATTTCTACTTTGTTCTTATTTGAGAAAATACCAGCTTAAATACACTTACATGCTCTTAGTGGTCCATAATTTTTATGCCGCCACAGAGTGGGAGCATATAGCGTTGCACTTGTCCGTCCGAGTGTCCATCCGTACGTCTGTCCGTACGTCCCGAAATCTTGTGAACGCAACTCCTCTTAAACCGGATGGCAGATTTTGCTTAAACTTACAGGGATGAACAACCTTAATGTGTAGATGGTAGTAAAGGAAGGAATTTTTGCTGCGACCAAATTTAACAGAATTATGGCCCTTTGTTTGATTTTTTTACTATATACTATGTAGAAATTTTGTGAACGCAACTCCTCTTAAACCGGATTGGCAGATTTTTGCTTAAACTTCCAGGGATGAACAACCTTAATGTGTAGATGGTAGTAAAGGAAGGAATTTTTGCTGTGACCAAATTTAACAGAATTATGGCCCTTTGTTGGTTTTTTCACTATGTACTATGTAGATATTTTGTGAACGCAACTCCTCTTAAACCGGATGGCAGATTTTGCTTAAACTTCCAGGGATGAACAACCTTAATGTGTAGATGGTAGTAAAGGAAGGAATTTTTGCTGCGACCAAATTTAACAGAATTATGGCCCTTTGTTGATTTTTTTCTCTATATACTATGTAGAAATTTTGTGAACGCAACTCCTCTTAAACCTGATGGCAGATTTTGCTTAAACTTCCAGGGATGAACAACCTTAATGTGTAGATGGTAGTAAAGGAAGGAATTTTTGCTGCGACCAAATTTAACAGAATTATGGCCCTTTGTTGATTTTTTCTCTATATACTATGTAGAAATTTTGTGAACGCAACTCCTCTTAAACCAGATGGCAGATTTTGCTTAAACTTCCAGGGATGAACAACCTTAATGTGTAGATGGTAGTAAAGGAAGGCTCATCAATACAGGATAATAATGTATTTCAAATATTGTACAGGTAATTTATTTACACAATGCACAGTAAAAGTTAACCCATTATTTTGAATATTTGTACAGGTTTTTTTCCTGCCTTTGAGTAATACAATAATCACTGGATTCCGAGACGATACAATATTTGCGTGGGAATCGGACACTCTCACCTGTAAGTTCCAGCTACCTACACCACCTGGAAAGTAAACCACACTAAAAAAGTTTTTTGCCCCCACAAGGTTTTGTTTTAAATACATCTTTTTATCAAATAATGTTAAACTTTTTAATTTTGGGAAAACAAAAAAAATTTTTGACTTTTTCCCTTTAAATAATTTTCCTTTTTAAGTTAAAAAATTTTTTTATGTTAAAACAAAAAATTTGCTTTATTTTTGACAGATTATAGATTTTTTTCCTGGGAAATTTAATTCCTCGTGGGGTTTTTTCCACTTTATTTGTACACTCAACATTTTACTCATAAGAAAAGTTTTTAAAGTTTCAAAAAAACTTTACACAAGTTAAAGGCATCTCCCTTTTTTTATACGGGATTAAAATTTTTTAAAAGGGGTTTCCCACTTTTTACATGTTTTTAAAAATTTTTAAATTTTTGAAAACAAAATTTGGTGAAAATGTATTTTTAAAAAAAATTTTCCATCCTGTCCTTTTAAAATTTTAAATTTCATCCGGCGTTCAAAATACAAATATATGGAGCATTTTATACCACTGCACTAAAGAATTGATTCCTTGCTTATCTGTCTGCAGCTTTATATATGTAGTTATTGAGGTAGATGTGTATTATATCATATGTAAAACATCCTTCTTCAAAAGGTCATCATTAAACAAAAAAAAACATGAACATTAAAAACCAACAACAAAAACCCCACCCTTCATAAATGTTTTATACGCAAATGTGTTATCATGTTTTTATTAAAAGAAGAATTGTCAACTAATTTTTACATTTATTGGTATTTCAGAGATGGTAGAATATTGGCAGCAGGGGGTAGATCTAGATTTATACATCTATGGGCATTAGATACTAGAAAGTTACTGAGGATTGTTGAAATGCCAGAAAAAGTGACATCAGTGAAACAAGTCTTCTTTTTACCCGAAAACTTTGATGGTGGTGCAAGTCAGGTTTGTTTCTATGATTCTCGTAATTTGCTTCTTTGACCTAAATTGTTATCTTTTCGTACGCTTACAGATATTATAGTTAATATTTTTTGTGCAAGATTCTTTGCCCCAAATGTCATTGACTCAGATTTTTTAAATGTAAAAAAGGGGTTTTCAAGGATTTAAATTTTAAATTTGTGAACCCTTTTAAAAATGGGCCCCTTCCTCCCCGTTTGGTTTTTTATTTTAAACCTGGAAAAAATGAAGGGGGGTATCCTTTCCTTTTATTTATTTCTTTTTTTTTGGCATATCCTGTGTTGGTTTATTTAAGGTACCATATTTCTCTCTAAGATATGTAATAATATTTTGTATTCGATTATTCAGATTTTAGGCGTTTTGTGTCAAGATGGCATCGCAAGATTTATCAACATTCATTCTTGTAAACTGTTGTTTGACATGGGAGAAATATCGAACAAGATTAACAACATTTCTGTGAGTCCAAATGGTCGTTATGTTGTCACAGTGAATGAAGACGGAACCATGGGAATATATAACCTCCAGACATTGAGTGCGGAAATCAACAAGGTACGTTAAAGAACACCTGTAAGACAGATACTGTTGATACACCTATATGAAGAAGTTGTAGCCCTTTTAGGACTTTTTCCAGCCATCATGTGGACAGGTTCCTGGCTTGAATTTGGCTTAATTATCCTGCATCATCTACTTGTGTGTAAACTAAAGTCAAAAATGTTTATTTTTATATTTACAAAAAGACCGTGTAGCAATTATCAATATTTTCAAATATCATATTTGAGCATAGGTTCTCTTTAAAGTTATCAATGTACCTCAGAACTTGGCAAAGTAAGTAGGGAATTTTTTTGTGACTTATATCTATTTAATACAGAATATAGTGATGGCAATTTGATTTTCAACTTTAATTTTCTACTTACTTCAATTTACATTTTCAGCCACCTGCCCCACTGGTTAAAGTTGTCACTAACAACAAAATGTCTGATGCAGCCTCCGTTGATAAATCATACTCATCTGTGTCAAGTAAGGGCTCAAAAAAAGGTCGACGCCCACTATCTGCCCCAGCCAGAGGAAAAGAAAACAGACGAAGGTTGCAGGAGGATGACACTTGTGAAGTAAGTGGAATTTTAATAATTCTGTCTTGTCAAATAGAATTTTTTTCTTACATTATAAACAGAAATTTTTCTTACAAAACATATCTCGTATGATTAAAAAAGTATCTGTATGAATGACTTATGAAGCAATTTAGTAAGTTGATTAACAATTATTTTTGTCTTTTTTTTTGAGAATTGGATGATATAATTTGAATGCTTATTTCTATAGTTGTCAATGATTTTGAAGTTTATATGGGTCTCCATAGTTGTGACTTTGAACTATTTTCCCTATGTATCTAGTGGTTTTAAATTTTTATTTGTTTTATGAGAAAAATGAACTTGCCAAGCTAGTTTGACAAAGGTAATTAATTATATCCCCAGCTGTATGTTGAAATAGTGCAAATTGAAGTGCATCTTATGATTTCCACCATCTCTTCTGTTGGACAATAAATTTTACAGTGTTCAAGTTACTTAGAAAAGAACCCAACCCCCAAAAAATGATAAATGAGTAAAAAAATTTAATTATGTAATTTTTTTTTCATTCATTTTGCAGACAGAGTTACCTGAGGGACTTAACATGGACAGGTTACAGGCTATATTGAAAGGATACTATGAATATCCTGCCAAATACAGGTAATATATGCTTCATTGTAGTGAAATTGTATAACAATCTATCCCTGACTTGAAATTTTGAATAGTCTGTTAGTAATCCAGGTGATTTCAGTGACAAAATACTGAATCTGAATATCCAAGAGAGTCCATATTGTACAGGCAGGGCTTACTCTATAATGATGACATAAGAAAATAATTGCACCTAGCATTTAAATGTTTAATTTTTGACATATATTTTGCAATAAAGTAAGCCTTGCAAAGTTTTCTTATGATTTAGTCTTATGTCATAATTTAAGACATTAGCTTATTAAATGACCATTGTTTTCAGTCATTATCTCAAGGTTTTGCAAACTAGTTTCATTATAACGATCAGTAATGCTTTGAACTTAGTTAATGCCTTAGTTCACTCTTATCTTTCCTTTCCTTTACCAGGATGTTTATTTGGCGTTCAGTTTTACGATTACCAGAAAACCATGCTGCGTATGCTGCCCTTGTTGATAAAGGAACACATCCAGCTTTTGAGAAGCTAAGTGAAGAATATCCAATAAAAAGTAGACGACTGCTACGAATACTTCAAAGGTAATTTTTGTGTCGCCTTGAAAAGGTGACATATAGGGGTTACTTTTGTCGGCGGTGTCGGCGGCGGCGTCGTTGTCGGCGTCCCCTAAAGCTTGTCCGGAGCATAACTCAGTCACTATAAGTCTGATTGACTTCAAACTTGGTATTCATGCTTCTTTCAATAACCCGAAGTGCAGTGCACAAGAACCGGTACTCTGCAGTTCTTATTTTTTGAGTTATTGCCCTTTGTTAATTTTCATACTTTAATTTTGTCCGGGCCATTTCTCTTCAACTAAAAAAGCTATGGGCTTTAAACTTCATAGGATGATAGATCTCATTAAGAAGAAATGCAGTGCATAAGAACCAGTACCCTGCACTTCCTAATTTTTGAGTTATTGCCCTTTGTTAATTTTCATACTTTATTTTTGTCCGGGCCATTTCTCCTAATGTATAAAAGCCATGGACTGGAAACTTCATAGGATGATAGGTCTCATTAAGAAGAAGTGCAGTGCACAAGAACTGGTACTCTGCATTTCTTATTTTTTGAGTTATTGCCCTTTGTTTATTTTCATACTTTAATTTTGTCCGGGCCATTTCTCCTTAAGTATAAAAGCTATGGACTTGAAACTTCATAGGATGATAGATCTCATTATTAAGAAGTGCAGTGCACAAGAAACGGTACTCTGCATTTCTTAATTTTTGAGTTATGGCCCTTTGTTAATTTTCATACTTAATTTTTGTCCAGGCCATTTCTCCGAAAGTATAAAAGTTATGGACTTGAAACTTCATAGGATGATAGATCTCATTAAAAAGAAGTGCAGTGCATAAGAACTGATACACTGCATTTCTTATTAGCTCACCTGAGCATATGCTCAGGGTGAGCTATTAGGATAACTCTTCGTCCGTCGTACGTCGTCCGTCGTCCGTCGTACGTTGTCCGTTCACACTTTTCAAACGACATCTCCTCTGAAACCATAAGGCAGATCATAATGAAACTTCACAGGGATGTTCCTTGTGTGAAGCCTTAACAAAGTTGTTCAAAGAATTCCATTCCATGCAGAACTCTGGTTGCCATGGCAACCAAAAGAAAAAACTTTAAACATCTTCTTCTAGAAAACCAAAAGAGCTAGAGCTTAGATATTTGGCATGAAACATCTTCTAGTGAGTGTCTACCAAGATTGTTCAAATAAAATCCCTGGGGTCAAAATTGGCCCCGCCCCAGGGGGTCATTGATTTTCCCTATATGCATATAGTAAAAACTTAAAAAAATCTTCTTTTAAAGAACCCAAAGAGCTAGAGCTAAGATATTAAGCATGAAACATCTTCTAATGATTGTCTACCAAGATTATTCAAATAAAAGCCCTGGGGTCAAAATTGGCCCCGTCCCAGGGGGTCATTGATTTTCCCTATATGCATATAGTAAAAACTTAAAAAATCTTCTTCTAAAAAACCAAAAGAGCTAGAGCTTAGATATTTGGCATGAACCATGTTCTAATGGATGTCTACCAAGTTTGTTCAAATAAAAGCCCTGGGGTCAAAATTGGCCCAGCCCCTGGGGGTCATTGATTTTCCCTATATGCATATACTAAAAACTTAAAAAAAATTCTTTTAAAGAACCCAAAGAGCTAGAACTAAGATATTTAGCATGAAACATCTTCTAATCGGTGTCTACCAAGATTGTTCAAATAAAAGCCCTGGGGTCAAAATTGGCCCCGCCCCAGGGGGTCATTGATTTTCCCTATATGCATATAGTAAAAACTTAAAAAAATCTTCTTTTAAAGAACCCAAAGAGCTAGAGCTAAGATATTAAGCATGAAACATCTTCTAATGATTGTCTAACAAGATTATTCAAATAAAAGCCCTGGGGTCAAAATTGGCCCCGTCCCAGGGGGTCATTGATTTTCCCTATATGCATATAGTAAAAACTTAAAAAATCTTCTTCTAAAAAACCAAAAGAGCTAGAGCTTAGATATTTGGCATGAAACATGTTCTAATGGATGTCTACCAAGTTTGTTCAAATAAAAGCCCTGGGGTCAAAATTGGCCCCGCCCCTGGGGGTCATTGATTTTCCCTATATGCATATACTAAAAACTTAAAAAAATCTTCTTTTAAAGAACCCAAAGAGCTAGACCTAAGATATTAAGCATGAAACATCTTCTAATGAGTGTCTACCAAGATTGTTCAAATAAAAGCCCTGGGGTCAAAATTGGCCCGGCCCCAGGGGGTAATTGATTTTCCTTATATGCATACAGTAAAAACTTAAAAAAATCTTCTTCTAAAAAAACCCAAAGAGCTAGAGCTTAGATATTTGGCATTTAATATGTTCTAATGGATGTCTACCAAGTTTGTTCAAATAAAAGCCCTGGGGTCAAAATTGGCCCAGCCCCTGGGGGTCATTGATTTTCCCTATATGCATATACTAAAAACTTAAAAAAATTTCTTTTAAAGAACCCAAAGAGCTAGAACTAAGATATTTAGCATGAAACATCTTCTAATCGGTGTCTACCAAGATTGTTCAAATAAAAGCCCTGGGGTCAAAATTGGCCCCGCCCCAGGGGGTCATTGATTTTCCCTATATGCATATAGTAAAAACTTAAAAAAATCTTCTTTTAAAGAACCCAAAGAGCTAGAGCTAAGATATTAAGCATGAAACATCTTCTAATGATTGTCTAACAAGATTATTCAAATAAAAGCCCTGGGGTCAAAATTGGCCCCGTCCCAGGGGGTCATTGATTTTCCCTATATGCATATAGTAAAAACTTAAAAAATCTTCTTCTAAAAAACCAAAAGAGCTAGAGCTTAGATATTTGGCATGAAACATGTTCTAATGGATGTCTACCAAGTTTGTTCAAATAAAAGCCCTGGGGTCAAAATTGGCCCCGCCCCTGGGGGTCATTGATTTTCCCTATATGCATATACTAAAAACTTAAAAAAATCTTCTTTTAAAGAACCCAAAGAGCTAGACCTAAGATATTAAGCATGAAACATCTTCTAATGAGTGTCTACCAAGATTGTTCAAATAAAAGCCCTGGGGTCAAAATTGGCCCGGCCCCAGGGGGTAATTGATTTTCCTTATATGCATACAGTAAAAACTTAAAAAAATCTTCTTCTAAAAAAACCCAAAGAGCTAGAGCTTAGATATTTGGCATTTAATATGTTCTAATGGATGTCTACCAAGTTTGTTCAAATAAAAGCCCTGGGGTCAAAATTGGCCCCGCCCCAGGGGGTCATTGATTTTCCCTATATGCATATAGTAAAAACTTTAAAAAATCTTCTTTTAAAGAACCAAAAGAGCTAGACCTAAGATATTAAGCATGAAACATCTTCTAATAAGTGTCTACCAAGATTGTTCAAATAAAAGCCCTGGGGTCAAAATTGGCCCCGCCCCAGGGGGTCATTGATTTTTCCTATATGCATATAGTAAAAACTTTAAAAAATCTTCTTTTAAAGAACCCAAAGAGCTAGACCTAAGATATTAAGCATGAAACATCTTCTAATTAGTGTCTACCAAGATTGTTCAAATAAAAGCCCTGGGGTCAAAATTGGCCCCGCCCCAGGGGGTCATTGATTTTCCCTATATGCATATAGTAAAAACTTAAAAAAGTCTTCTTCTAAAAAACTCAAAGAGCTAGAGCTTAGATATTTGGCGTAAAACATGTTCTAATGGATGTCTACCAAGTTTGTTCAAATAAAAGCCCTGGGGTCAAAATTGGCCCAGCCCCAGGGGGTCATTGATTTTCCCTATGTGCATATAGTAAAAACTAAAAAAAATCTTCTTCTAAAAAACCGAAAGAGCTAGAGCTTAGATATTAAGCATGAAACATCTTCTTATCAGTGTCTACCAAGTTTGTTCAAATAAAAGCCCTGGGGTCAAAATTGGCCCAGCCCCAGGGGGTCATTGATTTTCCCTATATGCATATAGTAAAAACTTAAAAAAATTCTTTTAAAGAACCCAAAGAGCTAGAGCTAAGATATTTAGCATGAAACATATTCTAATGGGTGTCTACCTAATTTGTTCAAATAAAAGCCCTGGGGTCAAAATTGGCCCTGTCCCAGGGGTTATTGATTTTCCCTATATATATAGAGTAAAAAGTTAAAAATCTTCTATTAAAGAACCAAAAGAGCTAGAGCTAAGATATTTAGCATGAAACATGTTCTAATGGATGTTTACCAAGTTTGTTCAAATAAAAGCCCTTGGGTCAAAATTGGCCCTGCCAGGGAGAGGGGGGAGGGGGCAAAAGTCATTGTTATTCATTATTTGTGTATAGTAAAAACTTAACATCATGAAATATCTTTTAATGGGTGTCTTCCAAGTTTGTTCAAATAAAAGCCCTTTGGTTTAAACTGGCCCGGCCCTGGGGGCCTATGTTCAGGTGAGCAACCCCAGGGCCATCATGGCCCTCTTGTTTTTGAGTTATTGCCCTTTGTTGATTTTCTTACTTTATTTTTGTCCTGGTCATTTCTCCTCAAGTATGAAAGCTATGGACTTGAAACATCATAGAATGATAGATCTTATTGATAAGAAGTGCAGTGTACAGAAACTGCTGCTCTGCACATATTATTTTTTTAGTTATTGCCCTTTGTTATTTTTCATATTTCATTTTTGTCCTGGCCATTTCCCCTAAACTACATTGTTCACAAGGCGACACATCTGACTCGCGGAGTTCTAGTGTTGTTATGCACCCATGTGTGGGGGTATAATAAAACATTGTTATCAGTCTATATTATCATCAAGGCTGAGAGTCAAAAGTAAAATAAATTGATACCATTTATATGGTATTGTATTGATAATACTTAATGATTTTAAAATAAATTAATTATTTCATTATACTAGAACAAGAGTACTTTGAAAAAACTATCATATATTCATAAATCCTACATTTTTAGACTTTCACACCTCAATTTATACAGTTTACACCCATGGAAAGTTTGGTTATAAAAATTAGTAGAAAACAATTGAAGGTGTTTACCGTGTTATCTCTCTGAGTAAAAGAAACTGTCAATGTAATTATTGTTAATGAGAAGGAAAAAGAATTCCTTATCATGATACTTCTTGTACTTTCAGAATATTATCAGCATTGGCTAACTGGTCACCAATATTTGGAGAGACACAGTATCTACCAGTACTGGCGTTCCCATTTGTTAAACTGTTCCAGAATAACCATCTTGTCTGTTTTGAGATTATTGCCAGTATACTAGGTAAGTTATTTCCCCATGTTCAACTTCATCACCTTAGCCATAGCCCAGTAGCAGTATGGTCAAGGTTGATGACTTCAAATAATTAGCCCTACATTTCTTGTCTTTGAATTCTGTCAGGGGTTTCAGAGGTGCACCTTAGGATGTCCCCCACATAACCTTAATTGTGTTGGTGCAGACAAAACTTGTTTGTCATGTTTTGAATTTAGAACAGTCCATATCTTAGTTTTATGAACTTCATTGACATGTATGAACTCATATAGCCATGCTCTATATTGGTGATATAGTTATCTATATTGGAAGTTTTTATTGTCGTTAGTGTTCAGAGAATTAATAATTTACCTATTGAGGCTGCTTCCTGAGGGGTAACTGAGGTCTTCCTCAACCAGTGAAGCTGAAGATGGCCATATGTTTGTAATAGCATTGGCATTTCTTTAAACCCAACAAAAAAGTACATTACATAAATTACATGCAAATGTGAAAATTGTGTATATTTTTGGGATAAAGTGTTATTTAACAAAACTAAATAAATACGAAAGTATAATAGTAAAAGTAAACTTGTATATTTTCAGTGAATTACTCACAGCACTGGTTTGAGTATTTCCCTAACCCACCTATCAACATACTGGGTATGATAGAAAATGTGATAGGCCATCATGATAGATATCTACTACAACATTTTGTCAAATACAATGTCACCTCTCAGGTAAGTTCTCTTAAACATGTTTACTTTATCTAATTTTCATTTTTGTCTCACACAAATATCCTGGCCAGATTTGAAACTCTTGCTCCTCCTTCTTTAAGGCATCACCTGCCAATTGGTAAAAATATTTGACTTGGAATCACTTGCTCTACCTAATTGTTGCCTTGAATCTGCTGCACCAAATCCAATGGGTAAGTGGATAAGGTCATTGACAAACTTAGAACTTTGAATAGAATCCTGTCACAGACTTGAGATTTTGTCACATGAGGAAGTTATGCTTATGTACAAAATAGTGCACAAATGAGCACCCTCTGTCTTCCTTCAGTAGTAAAGATGATCATGAAAGTAGTCATATGACCCTTACATTATTGCTGGTGGTGTCTGTGGCCAAGTTGTTAAAGATTGTTTACTTCAAACCACATGGCCCTCATAACTATGGGTTCAAATCCCGTCTGGGACTTGGAATTTTTTCGTGTGGGGTAGCTATACAGTGAGCTTATGGTTGGTGAGCTAAAGGTTGGTGGTTCTACACTGGTACCCATTCATACCTGAAATAATGCACATAAGGGCATCTAAGGTTATTCTCCTCCAGTAAAGCTAGAAAGTCACCATTAATCCATTATAACTAGCTTTAAAGGTTTTATGCTAGACACAGTTGACTTAACTAGTTTGTAATGATAGAATGAGTATAGGCTTTCACAGTGTTCGCTATTTTTCACAAATTGGTTGCGATGCTGCGTAAATTTAATAACAAAGCATATATTATACAAATTGTATCCGATAACAATATTTTTCGAATTGTCATCAAGTTTGATAATTAATACAAAAACCGGTTTCAAAATAATTAATGTGCGCATTGTTTTACTTTCATTGTGATCAAAGTAACAAGATTTTTCAAAATGCTTTCTTTAAATGAATTATATCCAACACAACATGCTTACATTATTTTCTGACAATATCAACAATTTATGCACTTTACAGGTAGATAAGAATAGTTATAGTTTAGATAATAATAGATTAATGGTGAAACAGTGATCAATGGACAATTTTCACACTGTAGTTCAAGTATTGTAAACAAGTACATGTATGTAACACCTATTTTACAAACATATCAAATACTTTATTTACAAACAGTAACCAAACATGAAACAGGATTTAAAAAAAACTTTCATGATAAATCAGTCATGTTGGTATATGATTTTAAAAACTGTCACATGATGGGACAGCATTAAAGGTATATTTACTGTGAATAACTTTTGCACAGTATGGAAATTAACGCATTTGAAACATCCTACTAAATAAGATAAAAAAATCGCAATTTTAAATTTATGACCTGGTTGTTGAGAATTCATAAATAGGAAAATTATTCGGGAATGGGGTTTTCACAAAATAAAGATTTTGCAAATATTTAGTGGTTTACAGTCACTGATTGATTTTTAGCTTGACTATTCGATAAGAATAAGTAGAGCCATATTAGTCACCGAGCGTAGGCGTAACCACTTATGTTAAAGTTTTTGAAATACCTCAAAAATTTTAAAGTCCATTGACATATGGCTTTGAAACTTTGCACACTTGTTCACATATTGTTTTCATATTCTATTAACATCTGGATTTGAAACAAGTTGAAATTTTATACACTTCTTTGAGAGCATAATAGGACTCTCTCCAAGGCCTAGAACTGTATTATGGATTAAAAGAAAAATTTTGCCCTTTTGTTAACTCAGAAAACTTTACATTATCAAGGCTCTTTTATTATCAAGCTTTAAGAATAGTCAAGCGTTGTTGTCCTACTGTCAGCTCTTGTTTGCATTTGAAAACATATTACGTAATTTTTTTCGTCAACAATTCTTAAATATTTAGACTAATAACACACTTGATGAAAATTGTGTTCAGTAGTTTTCATTTGACCAAATATCTTTTGACAAATTGTTGTGCACTGTGGATTTGCAGATATGTCAGGCTTTATACTGGAATTTTTACCTACATAATTATAATCATTTTGGCTGGAAAACTATTTTGTTTCTGGAGTAGAAGAAGGGAATCCTGGTTAGAGGATTGTTTGATATTACACTGAAATTAACTGTATTCCAATTGCAAAGATTTATATACAGTAGGGTATGGTAGTTTTCACTTCAAAACTATAGCATGGGGTATAATTTGATGAGGAATTAAAGTGATATGGTTTGTTTGTTTTAATAAACGTTCGTGATGAACTTTGAACAAACAGTATTGACCGTCATCCAGGTTCGGAGAAGGCAAAACTAACTTTATTGTCTTAACCTTTTACTCATATAGACGTGTTTTGATGGCTTTTCACCCCCCCTCCCACTTTTTGAGGCTTCAAACAGTGAAAAAATGTCCTATTTAGGCCCCAAACACTGTTTTTCGTTTGTGAAATGTTGTTATAACAAGTGATCACTTTTTCGGCACCGCCTTCCATCAAAAAGTACATCATGGGGTTGCTGGAAAGGGAATGTGCCCCCTTCTTGGTAGTTTGAAGGGGGCAAAAGCCCCCCCTCATTGCCAAGAAAATTTTGGACATGTGACAGGCTCAAAATGGTCTCAGGTCGATCTTAAGGTAATGTGTGACCAACACTGAAATGCCTCTTACTCTATCTCAATCCGTTAAGAAGTTGCAGTAATTTGAAATCAGTTTATTGGGAAAAAAAATGCAAAATAGTGATTTTTTGCATATTTTATTTATTTAAACTCTTCTTAGTTGACAAGAAAAACTAACAGGAAGTTGTCCATTGTTTTAAGAGGCTACAACTTGGCTCTGTAAAAAGTGTTAGATTGTCTATAATTATTCATTAAATGAAGTACACCACAGAACTTAAATCAAATGAATGATATTTGTAAACTTTGATGACAGCAATATTTGTCATGGAAATAATTGGATGATGAGGATATTAAAAAAAGGAGAAAATTCACTCTTAAATAAAAACACCCTGTTGCTGTTTTGCATGGTACCTTTGGGGGGAAAAGGGTACATGTATAGGGTTAAATGCAAGAAATATAGAAGTTATGATATTGACCATTATATTGTGTGGTAAAATTTAGACCAGTGAGGCAATTTTTTTGACTTGATGTGCCTGCTTGACATAGCAATTACAAAATCATAAACTTCATTGGAATTGAAGTATTTGTTGCAATGAAGACACTTGTCCGAGGATGGGGTCTTTAAGCATGTAACATAGTGCACCAGTGCAACTTTTGTTTAACTAGATAACTTGCAACGTTTACCATATGAAGAGAGATAAATATTAATTAATAAATATTAGAACAGAAAAGAACTTAAAAATTTACAAAAATATGCATTTTCCAGGTTTTCATATTTAGCCTTAAAGGGACTACACTGAAGTTTTTTGAAAAGACAGGACTTGAAATATTTTTTCAAGGTCAAAGTTTCATTTCATGTAGGTCTAGACCAATAACTTTTGTGCAAATTTTCAGATCATTCACTCACTCTGTTTTTCCAAAATAATTAATCTAATTGTGAAAAATGATTCAAAATTGAAAATGCTTTTCACTTAAATTGCCCCAAAATTACAATTTTCAATTTATTTCTCAGTATATTTCGTAATTATCTTTTACATGTTTTTCTGTTTCAAGTGCCCAAGCTGATCTATGTAATAAATACATATTTCCTATATTTAAGCTTTTGGACCTCAGTTCCTTTAATTTGATGTATATAAATTATGCCCAACAGCAGTTAAAAGAACACACAATCTTGTATCAAATATGATATCTGATAGAATGTTCCTTTTGTTATAAAAGTTACGAGTGTGTCAAATTTGGTTGGAAAGAAAATATTTTACTACATGAAAACTTGTCATTTATTCCATTTTGCATACTTTTTCTACTTCAACATATTATATATTCACAAAAAAAACATTAAAAAATTCAATTGAAAATGCATTATTCTAATCTATAAATTCCACAACAGTCATTGCAAGAAACATGTGATTGATTGTCACAAATATATATTTTACTGGGACCTTATGTTACTCTCTAATTAAGGGGAGATAATTATGTAAGAGGCTGGATACATGTACATGTGCATTACATTATTCTGAGGGTGCTGGGGCTGAATCCTGCTCACATTATATAGAAACTTGGAAAATAGTAAACCATTTAAGGGCAAATATTGTGTCCAGGATTTGAATATTTTTAAAGCAGCTGTTGTACTTTATCAATTGTCAATTTTTATTGGTTGTCAGTTATTTTAATTAATAAAAAATTTAACAATTATATTATGTGAATGAGCATTCTTCTAGTAATGTTATTTCTAATGGATCAGTTTTTGTTGTGCATTGAAGTTAAATGAATTTTTTTTTATCCATGTAATAGATAGTTTAATGTTTATTAACTCACTGACCTCGAGGAATCATTGTCATTTTAAATCCCTTCTTTGTGATTTTTAATATGAAAGATCGAAGAATAAAAAAAGCATTTTAGAAGTTAATTTACAATTTTTATGTTTTACAAATCCTAAAATAAAAAATTAAGTATGCTTTATAAGGTCCTTTGATTAATGATTTTTTATTAAAGAAAAAAAAAATTATAATAAAATTTAGTTCTAAATAATCTTGTTCAGAATTGATTGTCATTTTGACATTATTCATTTCCAGTTAAAATTTCAAACAGTTTGTTATAGCTTTGACCTTATGACACTTAGTTCACCTTGAGTAATTACATACCTGACACTATTAATAGATTTTCTGTCATTTGATTGGCCAATCAGTTCCTTAATTGGTTATCATTGCCTCTGATTGGTTGTGATTAGTTAGTGATTGAAATTACATCAAAGTTTGCAATTCATTGGCCCTGAGTGAGATAAATACAGATTTTTGTTATTGATGACCAGTGTTTTTACAGTTATACTCCCAGTATACTTGTTTGAAAATACGTTGAATTAATGTATTGGAAGAGTAATTAGGGATTTTTTGGAAAATAATCTCAGTGTTTGAATAGCGATGGACAGAGTGAACAAGTTTTTATAGTGACATATTTGTGTGGGAATTTTATGACATTTTAGTGTGGGAAGTTTCACACATACTATATGATATTTAAGCAAGTGCATTTCCAATACTTGCCATATCTGAGAAAGCATTTCGTAGGACTGTTTGTTATTAAACATACAACCAGTAGGATAAAAATAAACATTTAATATTCTGGGATAATAAAAGATGGCAGCTATTCTGAAAACTGCTTCGAAATCTGACTCTCCAGATAAAGACTTTATGAAGTTACAGTCAAATCCAATGTTCAGTGCACTGAGGGCAACATTAATTACAGATGTGGAGCAGACGACAAATATTCCTGTGACCTTGATCAAGGTTAAAGATGAGAAATTGGAGCAGGAGTCGAGTCTCGATCCTGCTGTTGTTGCTGTACAGGAAGCAAACCTTCAGTCGGATTTTCAGCAAATTTTACCGTCGGGAAATCAGAAAGTTTCCGAATTACAGATGTTTTACAATGAGCAGTGTTCGGTCATAGAAAACAGTCGTAACGAAGCTATCCAGCAGTTGAAGGAGAACAATATGTTAAGTGTTTCGCAGTATAAACGAGAGATGGGAATTATTCATACTCATCATGATGAACAGAGGATGCATTTAACCAATCGTGTGACAGCAAGTTTACAACTGTTGAAAATAAGTATGCCGTCGTCTGCTGAAGTTTCTAGTTCGAAATCCAAAAGTCGTCAATTAAATAGTTACGCTGTTGAAGTTATGACAGAATGGTACGACAGGCATATTGATAATCCTTACCCAACGGATGAAGAGAAATTAGCATTAGCCGATATGGGCGGACTTTCATTATCACAAGTGAAGGCGTGGTTTGCGAACAAAAGAAATAGAACAAATAATACAAAACCAAAGAAACAAAAGATACAGGTTGAGAAGAAGTTGTTGAACATTTGTACCGAACTTTCCAACGGACAGCCTGGAAGTACGCCAAGATTTTATGGACAGATTATTGCACAGTTGTCTGATATTGTGAACTGTTCGCAGGTGTTTAGCAATCCAAGTAGAATCATAGCTGATGCTTATAATTCAAGCGGTGATGAACTGGAAACCATGTATAATGAGTAATTTCTTTAAAATGGATAATATAGAATTTTATGAATTTCAATACCAAAGAATATGTGAACTGTGAAAAAATATATTAGAATTTTCAAGACAGAAAGAATTTTATTGGTGGATAATAATGGAAAGATATAAAAGATTTATACTTGATTTTTTCACCATTTTCTTTTAAATCTTCAAAATGTAGCATTTTATCTTTTAGACTAAGAGCAGTTTACATGGAAAAAAATGTAAATATTTTATGCATAGTTATATAAACAAAGTCTAGTGCTATTGTTTTTGATAAAATGTTTTATGTTTTTTTATTGTTGTACATGTATATATAGTTCAAATATTGTGTTCAATTGACCATATTTAAAAACCACTGTGTATAATAATGCAAGCCTGTGTTATTTAATACTGTATCAAAATTGTACATTATATTATATGAATTACATGTATATAAGAAATATTTGTTTTGTTTTTATGTTATGATTGATTTATGTATAGCATTATTTGATTTTTCCTATGTTAAAACCCTATTTAGGGACATAGATATTGCACTTTGTAAGTCAGACAACTGCTTCCTGGGTTTCCTTACCATTAATTGCACCGGGGTGAATTGAGAATTTAGCTAGAAATAGAATCTTGATGGTGTTGGGATTCGAACTTCACAGCCTCCATGTCAAAGCACAAAAAAGCAAAACATGGTTTAGTTATGTCGCCAATAATTGCTATTTTTTTGGAAGCTGTAAAGTAAAAAAACTTGAATATTTAGAATTATAGCTATTTTATCATTCAAGGACAGAGAGCATAAAGTCGCCGCTTTGTCCGTCCATCTGTACGTCCGTCCACTTTTCTTGTCCGGACATAACTCTGAAACTACTTGAGATATATATACAAGAAACTTTGTAGGTAGATAGATCTCATTTAGTAAACATGCATTCAGAAGAAATGTAACTGTGCCTTGCCTAATTTTGGAGTTATTGCCCTTTGTTCAATTCTACACTTTGAATTTGTCATGGACATAACTTTGAAATTACAAAGAATTGAAGCCTGATTAAAATTTTACAGGAAAACTTAAATAAGAATATTTTCATCATACTGTAAAATTGGTCCTTAATGCTCCTTGCTGTAATTATACAGCCCTTCTTCACATTAGAAAGGAAAACAAATAAAATATACTAGATGCTTAGTAAAATAGATGTTTTCCGGCTTAGCTCAATAAGGAGAGCATTGAATAAGAACTTCAGTGGTCGCTGGTTTGAACTTGGCAAGGCATAATTTCTCTGTGACAATTGTTATCCGACATGGAGTCTCTCACTGGTGATTCAGAAATCATGTGGGATAAGTAGTCAATCACTTGCAGAGAAATTGGTAAAAACTGGTTAGTTATCCAGTTAAACTGCGAAGGTGGATTGACGGTCAACATATGACCAAAAATGTGTAAAAATAGGTATAAAAAAGTTTAGAAAAACAAACAGTAAAACAAATAACCAATAAAAGAGATAGTTAAATTTCAATGTGGAATGTTGATGGTTCTACCCTGAGCTGAATCCCCTGTCTGAAATAATGCACCAAGGAAACAATTGTTGGATGTTTCTTTGCCAAGTGAAGTTACAAAGTTGTCACATGAGTAACTGTAAAAGATTTGATGTGATTTAAAGGGACTCCGCAGAGATGTTTTAACATGTCGGCATTGGAAATAATTTTAGAGATTCCATATTGAGGGCTTGGTGCGAAAGGGTTGTAACTCATATAAGAGATAAAGAAGGAGTCATCAAGCTGTCGATATGTTCCATTTGACATAGGGTTAGACCAATAACTTGTATGCAAAATTTCAGATCATTGGCTCCCTGAATAATTATTAATTGTTCTACTTTTAAATATGACCCAAAACTGAAAAGCATTGCAACAAGGGCACTAAGGAATAGCACAAAAAAACAAAAAAAACAATTTATTTCTGAGTTATATCTTAAAGCTGCATTTAATAAATTTCGTAAAAAAAGAAATAGCGACTTTTTATTAATAAATTGGGTTTCATATCAACCCCAACTAAAATGAGTTTTATATTTTAGCATTAAAAAGTGCAACCTCATTGTGGCAAAATTAGAAGTGACAATTTCTGTTTGCATGAGAAACTTTGCCTTCGGATCATCCATGCATAAATATTAAATAAAAAAAACATGGCTATAAGTAGCAGTTCTAATTTTACAGTATATTTCCGCATTGTAACAGATGTTTTCATACAAATTTAATCTTTTTTATGAGATAATTACCTTTTTCTGAATGGCAGGCTAATGCACCGTAAAGCTAAAATGGAAGAAAATCTCATATTATTTTGCTGTGTTCCAGATAGCAACTATAACACTGTGACATAGGGCATAGACAAGCTAATTATAGTCTTCATTTGCATTTTTTCTGTCACACAAGTGCAAGTTTTATTGTTGCCTATTTTAAACTTAGTTTGAGGATTCATAATCTTTTGATATATTACCTGTATGTAAAGCGAGACACAAACTTTTACTTTGCGTTAACTCTTACACACTAAAAGCTAGTAACTCCATTTATCTCCTTTCCAAGTGAAAATCTATCAAAGGGGTGCAAAGAATTTGTTATTCACTGATGATGAAGGATAGTGATAATATTTATTTTCAGATCTATGCCTGGCCTCTGTTGGAGACGTTGTTTTCTGAGGTTTTGACAAGGGAAGAATGGATGATGCTGTTTGACAACGTGTTTAGTAACCACCCGTCATTTCTTCTGATGGTTGTAGCAGCCTATGCCATGTGTGCCAGGGGTCCACTCATGCAATGTGTCGAACTGGATGACTTCAGAGTAAGTTGTGCAAAAGTGTCTGTAATTTATTTTCTGGGACTTTTCTGCAATAAGTTTGGCTTAACTGGCCTTGAAGGATGTTTGTATGTTCTCATATAGGCTTGATGACAACTACTATTTAATTTTTTCAAAACATCGCCATGGCTATAGAATGATGATTTAGATATTTTTTGCAGTGACAAGTGTTGGGGTTTATGATCTTGTTCTTGAGAAATCTGCTCTTGAATTTGTATTATTTTATGTTGATATATCAATGTGGGTAAATGTTGTGCTGGTCATAAACTTAAGAGTGAAATAAGTATGTGCTATTTTCACTTCATGGAAGTTGTTTTGTAATGCTGGAAAGATTTCTTTATAATTTATGAAAGATAATACATTGATAGTGATACACAGTAAAGAATATTAGCAGTAATACATGTATATAAACCTGGTTGTAAGTTTTTCTAGCTAAATTTATGGCTAAGCAGTAAATAGCACACAGGCAATAGAAATGGGGTTATAAAAGGGAATGCAATGTAATCATGATAAAATCTATCAGAAACTGTTTTGATACCATTAGAGTTTAAGCATATATTAATACATCTTGGTTTATATAAATTTTGATGTGTGTTTATTTCAGTATTTCTTTCACCACCGTAATGCTGTAGATTTGAAACAAGTATTAAAGGAGGCATATAGAATAATGGATGCCACACCCGAGTCAATCCACCCCAGCAAAACCCTAGAAGATTTCAAACCCCTGACCAAGGGACAGTACCCTGTATTTAACAAATATCCCAAGTTTATAGTGGATTATCAGGTATAAAATAAATAAAGCAATTACATTATTCTTTTAATTGAAGATATAAAATGATGAATTTTGTAGACCATGGAAATTATGATATTATGAACTTTTGAATTTTTTGGCAATTAACATGCTGGGACCAAAAGTGATATAAGTCTTTGCCAGGATTATAGATTCAGGTCAGTCTGACTATACTGTTGTTAGCTCAATTTTTGTATTTAGGTATTAAAATTCCCTTCAAAATTGAAATGTTCCAAATTTAAAGCTAGGCAAATCTGTTATACAAGTTCAAATAAAGGGTTCAAATATTCATCCTTGCATTTAAAAAAAGTGTCCGTTTGGTTAAATTTTATGATGATTATAACTGTTTGTAGGTGTTTTTTTTTCCAAAACAAGTTAAAATTATCGTTTTGATTTAAAATTTTATGTTAATGCATTTCTTTGAAATTTCTATATAATTATTTTCTGTTGATTTTTGACAGGTACAAGAAAGGGAGAGAATCCGACTTGAAGAGTTAGATTATCTTAGACAAAGGTAAATCTATAGATATCTTTTATCTTAGTGATAGCCATTATTATCTAAGTGAATTATATTAATCAAAGAAATATTAATTCATGGAATAAAACTGAATTATAACTAGACATAGTTTTTCCTTAGCAATGAGAACATTATTTTGCACCTCTGTGGCTAAGTGGTTAAGGTAACTTACTTAGGGACCATTTGCCCCTTACCAATATTGGTTTATATCTCATGAGACTAGATTCTTACAGATGTCAGGAAGCTATACAGCTAGCTTACAAAAGTTTGTTGGTTCTACTCAGGTGCCAGTTCATGCCTGAAATATTGCACGAAGGGGCACCTGAAATCTTCTTTGACCAATAATGTCAGAATACATTATCCTCAATATATTGTATGTACATTTAAAGCTGCATGCCTACAGATGAGCCAAGAAAACTTAAGATTTTAAGAAAATAATTTAAGAAATAATTTACATGTTATATGATATATACTGATTTTGCAGTATTTATCACCATATTTCTACTGCATGACTAATGTAGTAAGAGCTTTAAAAAAAATCATGAAAATTAGCATATATCCTGAAGCATGCTGCTTTAAGTGTATATTGGTGCAGATAGTTTCAATTTTGCCAGAAGACATGAATGTTGTATATATTGATATTTTCAGACAAGTTTCTATGGATATGGAACGTGAGACACAGAAACGTCAACAAGAGGAAGAAGCCTGGTACCGTCAACAGAATCTTCTCCTCGAGGCCGAGGATAAACGTCGTAAAATGATCCACGATGAAGAACAGAAACTAACAGATCAAAGAAAACGGTAATGTCTAATATATCATATGGTATAGACAGAAAATTTAATTATTATTGACCACTTATATATACTTATTGACAATATCGTTTCATATATTCATGTTATGTATGTATATTTTCAGCAAGTTAGATTTTTCTTGTAATAGAAGAAAAAGCATTAATTTTTTTATGAAGATGCCAAAAATGAAGAAAGTTACATATATAAACTGGGCCTCTAAAATGCTTAGAAAAACATTTTACTCTCAAAGATAATTTGGGGAGAAATTTCTCAGATATTGCCCAAAAAAAAAAGAACTGTGAATACACTTAATTTTTGGGCCATGAAATGTAGTGGTTTTGTCAAAAAGGTTTTTTAAAATGAAAAAATGTTATGCAAAATAATCTTACAGCGGACAAGGAAAAATTTTGTTGGAACTTTAATTATTGGATAGACCTATCTTTGAAGAATATGAAATTGATAATTATTTTGCAATACACGGAAGGGCCCCTGGGTTCTACCTCCAGTAAATGCTGGAATGGCCTTTAACATTATTGAATTTACCTGAAACCCATCACCATACAACCTTAGAAAATTGCTTTATATATCTCAAATGGGCATTTAAACAAAAAAATAAATGCCTGATTTTTTTGGTTTATTCAGATTAAATGCCATGAACCGTGAGGTGAAGTTTAAGGAGTTACAGTTGTTGGATGCTGCACGAAGAAAGTTCCTACACTTCCAGAAATCACAAAGAGAATCAGAACTGAAGAGGTTAGATGATGAAGTCCAGAGAAAGGTATTTTAGTTACTATATCTCTCTATACAAATTTAATGTTGATATAATCAAATTTAATGTTGATCCTTCTGACCTTGTAGTATGAGGCCAGACATGTCAACTAACATGTTTGTAAAGAGTTAAATTTGAAGCACAGGAAGGTGATGATCCCCTTTGTACAATTTCCTTGTACTAGCCAAATAAATAAATTTAAAAGTTGGAGTAAAAACTGTTCTGCAGATGTATAAAAGCCTAAAACATACAGTAAATAGAGGCAATATGGAAAAGTCCAAATATTTTTGTAGAAACTTCAAGTATTATAGTAGTAACTTTCATTTAGATTTATGAAATAAACTATAAAGACCTGTCTGTAAATGCAGTCTGTAAATGGTGTATGATTATTGGTTTATTACAAAACTAGCCAATCGATTTAACTAGACTGTCTCCATTCTCTTTTATTACCCTAGGAAAATTACCTTCAGGAAAATAACTATTATTATAGGGGTTGTTTTGTACACTGCTTTTTGAGTGTGTTTAAAATCAATAAAGACAAGATGGGAAATATTTTATCATGGCTATAATTTTTCATAACATTACAAATTTAAATTGACAGATCATGGAATATGTGTTTGTAGCAATTATGATGTTTATTTCAGGCATTATTACGTGACCAGGAGACGGAGGCTGCCATTGAAGAGGCTGAAATACGAAACATGGAGTTACAACTGAAGAAAAAAATGTTTGAACAGGTATTTGAATTATCTATACTTGTTTTTCAGAGATACCATATTACAACCTCAAATATTTGTAAAACAAATTGAGCCAAGAATATATATTGTCTTTTAAAAAAGAAGAAACTATAATGTCAATCTTTGGGTGACTGTGTGAAACCAGAATTATAGAGAATGCATCATATCTATAATTTTCAGGAATTGTTTCGAGAGTATGCCACATCGTCACATCATCTACGTACAGAACAAGATATGCATCGTAAACAAGCTGAGTTAGAAGATAGAATACAGCAGAGATTGAAAGACGCAGAGCGTGAGAGAGAAATGGAGGCTCGCAAGGTAGAGTTCAATATTTATATCATGCCAAGGACTTAAGATTCTTTCATGTAAAGAAACTATCCAGCTGGCTTACAGAACATTGGTGGTTCTGCTTGGGTGCCCGTTTGTGTCCGAAATAATGCATTAGGGGCACCTCAGGTCTTCCTCCACCAGTTAAGCTGGAAATTTGCCATATTACCTATTTTGTGTTGGTGCGATGGTAAACCTAACCAAAAAAGAAAAATATCCTGATTCTTTATCATATAAAATTCAAATTTTGTCATTCATGTAAATTTACACAATTGCTAAATCAACTTTTGTTCTCAAAAATCTGTATTTTTACTCTATAATATTTTTATTACTTTTTGGACCAAGTTTTTTATGTTGCTTCACATAGAAACACATTGCTCTAATTGATGTGGGTTTGATCCAAGCTGAGGCATCAAATTTTTATTTGTTAGTAGTTATCTACATATGTCATAGAAGGTTGGTGGTTTTACGCATGAATCTTCTTGTGCCCAATATTATAAATGCACAAAGGGTCTTCTAAGTTACATGTCCTTTAAAAGTAAATCTGAAGAATTGATTGTACATGTATAACTTGATCTTAATGATCATGTGGCTTAAAATCCAAACATTGTTGAATAAAACTATTAATCATTATAATTATACATAATATATTACAGACTATGGAGGAGAACCTGGCACGGGCATCACAGAAGAACATTGATGTGTGGGCAGGAAATGAAGTAGAGTATAGACATAGGCTGGAAGATCTTCAAAGGGAGGTCAAAACTGTACAAGTAAGATTTCTAAAAATAGAATTTTGATGATAAACAAGATCCATTCTTCGATTCAATTGAATAAATGTTTCAGTGCTAATATTGATTTCAAAATGAATTGTTTTGATTTCAAAACTTATTGTTTTGATTTCAAAATATATTGTTTTATTTGTTATAATTGTGGTTATGAAATATTAGTTAAGATTTGATTTTCTTTTGAATATTTTTGGGGTCATATATAAAACCAAGTCATAATGTTCTATGATTTGAGTGTTGTAATGTCCCAAAGAATATATGTTCTGTTACAAATAGATGTATTAACATGTTTGTAAAGGAGATATTGTATTGGAAAATGATGATAAGTAATTTACATCAAGGCTTTGTTTTCAGATGCCATGTAATAATGTAAGATTTAACTGGTATATTAAATTTATAAAGAAAAATGAAGTAAGCGAATGTTATCTAATTTTATAATATACATTTTTTTTTATAATTTTAGTTGGGTAGAAAGAATGCAGAGAATCGAGGGTTAGAACAGGAGGTTCATAACTTGATGAGGAAATGCCAAGATAAACGAGTAAGAAAAATATCATATTTAATAATATTGAAATATGACTTTTGGTTTGTTTTTCTTCACTTGAAAGGAAAGAAAGAGGAAAACATATTTCTTTTTCACTAGGACTTAAAGAAGTACATATCAATCAAATCCCTGCACAATAAATATTTGATGAAAGAAAATACAAATTTTATGTTGAAAATAGCAAAGCTAGATAAAGTCCTTACCATGTTCTTTGATAACTTCAAATCTCAATATATTTATTATTTAGCAAAGATTTCAACTACATTAACTCTTACCATGCTGAAGATCTAAATGTAATTGTCCATCTTTCAATCTGGACTAAACCATTCATCATGTTCAAAATTTGTTCTGACTGTAAACTTTAAAGTAAACAGTGTAGATCTAGATCTGATGGTAGACCTTTGTCTGTACTGCATGTACTGGTCACATGGATAGATTATGTAGCCATCTGCAGGCTGAAGTCTAAAGGTTAATTTATGATGTTGATGAATATATAAAGTTGTCTGCAGTCATATGCCCTTAATTAACAGTTGAAAAAAGTTCTTTACAGTTGTCAATTGTTTGTTTTAAACATATTTAGTTTAGCTTGAATGTCATTAAAACTTTAAGCATATTTGAACCACTTGAACCCTTGTAAGGCTAGGTAGAGAAGCAAACACCATAACATCAAGGTCATCTCACTCATCATTGTTTATAAGGTAACTTGGAAACTTACTTCTCAAGTAATGTACATGAATATCAGCTTTTATTCTCTGTTTTTTCAGTTAGATGACCATGCTGAAGGGGAGGAAGAGCGGCAGACCCAGCGTAAACTAGCTGACCAGGCTAATGCACGCAGGCTCGATTTTGTTGCCCAGGATGCGGAACTAGGTCAAGCTCACGGCAGGGACCTGACAGAAGATGCTATAGATAGTACTTACAGTATGTTGGTGTTTCTATGTAACATGTTAAAAGAAAGAAATGATCAAACTTTTTAACCCTTACCCGCTATGTATGTATAATGGATATGTCCTGCTTTGAATAAAAACAGTCCATTAAAAGTTAAAGAAATTATAAAGCCTGGTCAGACTACACTGGCTTTTTTAGTGACCAGTCAAGGCTAATCACTTTTTGTTCCCGTAAAGATGAAATAAGTATCTTTAAAAAAAGGTCCGATTTTTTTAAAGATTTAGCTGTTTTAAGTTACTGTTGTATCCCGTTTCAAATTAATAATGATTTTATTATTCCACTAAGTGATCTTGGCTTGAAAAAACTGGGGACAAAGAATTCTCCCCACAATGTTATAAACCTCACCATAGGATTGCTTTGTAATGTTAAATATAGGTATTTCTATTTAATGATGAACCTATGATATTACTTTTGCAGGATCAAGATTAGGGCAGTCATATCTAGATGGTACAACGAGATCGGAGTTGTTAAAATCTTTTGAATCTTTGTCTACAGCAGATACAGACTCTATGGCCTCTTCTAGTAAGTTAATAATTATACTCTGTTTCACTTTTACGTTAACCAGTTTGCTACTGCAAAAATTTCTGAAATAGTGTGTGTGGCATGTATAACATTATCATTTCCAGAAGAATTTTCTTTTTAAGATAATGTTTCTTCTGTTTAAAAATAATGAAAAAATCTTCTTACTTCTTTCCTGAGATGACAGCTTATGCTGGAAATAGTGCACGAAGGGTCTTCCTCAACCAGTAAAGCTGGAAAGTGTGTTACATGCGACTTAAATCGATCAAAACAATGACAACAAAACCTGAAATTGTTCACATTTAGCCTTCTTGAGAATACTGATATTTATGGGATTTAACTCAGGACAGGAGCAGTACCTCTAGATGCTTGCAGAAATCATGATCATAAAATAGTCAAATATCGTTTATTTTGCCCTGATTATTACATTTTTCATTCATTTTCATACATAAATCGATCTGAAAAGATGAATTAGACCTTTTAAAGTTCACTCGTTGGGTGTTGGGTAAAAAGGCAAAATTTTAGCATTTAAGCATTCAAACCCCTTATCCGTATATAACGGAATTTAGTGTGGTGCTCCAATCCTTTTTTTAGTCTCACTCACATTTATGTGATCACAAATTATTAAGAAAGTCAGTCCTTAAGTATATACAATAGAGCTATGATAATTAAATGTAACATTTGTCTTTCATCTTTTAGTTTCCTTGGAGACAAAGAGACGAGGTTTTGATGAGCGAGAAATTAGTTTATTAAATGAAGTTAGAAGATTACGCCAAAAGTTAGCAACTGAAGGTCGCACCAGAAAGCCACCTCCCCTCGTTAGCTGTGATGCTTAGTGAATATATGAAATAATTTAGTGTATAGATCAACAAAGATAATATGACAGTTGTGTATAGATAGACTTGGATAACATGGCTGTCATGTATAATATAAAGTTGGACACAATTATTGGTAAACTTTGAGTGTTGCATTTATGGATAGCCTGTGTAGGTTATATCGATAAAATGACAGTCTTGAATGTATACATATTGCTGCAAGATTTTGTGTATTTTGAAGTTTTTGCGAAACTTTCCAGGCCTGGTACAAGATATTCAGAAATTGCTGAAAATTCTGTACCCAGCTCTCAGTGATTTTTATTTAAACATATGAAATGAATATACATGTATGTAATCAGTCTATCCACTGCCACCTTATGTTTATAAGTTTATGAAAAATTAATTTTGTATTTCATTTAAAGATTTGCACATGCTTGTATGTGCTAAGGGATCATTAGATAGTCGTGAATTAAATGTATTGATGAACCATTACATTATTGTATTAGAAAGATTTCAACTCAACTTGAATGTGATTAGCCTTGTCCGTCAGTATTTCTGCATTTTGTTACTGAAATCCCTCAAACATGAAATGGAATGTCCCAAAATTAAAACTGGGCAAATCCATTAAACAAATTGAGCAGGTGAAGGTTTCAGGTGTTTTGGTAAAACTGATATTTGTACATAAATCCTACGATATATCTGTGATAAATAATTATGTGTCTGATTGAAACATTTGTCTTATTTTTGCAATTCTTGCAATAAAATGTTAACTGCACCATGCTGATGTGTATTGTGAATTTATGTCTATAGGGTGATTATATACGGATTTGCAGGTTCTTTAAATTAATTTTCTCAGTCGTGCCATTCAACATTTTTGCCTGGAGCATAATTTGAAAAAACAATCAAAGGTTTTAACTTGTAATTTGAAATAAAGGGGCAACAAATTTTGCATAGGACCTAAAGGATTTCCTTTTCACATGCAAGATTCATGGCACAGTTTTCTTGATTTGACATGATTTGCAGATTTTTTTTATGTAAATACTATGTGTTATTTATACTGTATATGGTGTAAAGGCATTTACTCATAGAGATTTATTTCTAGATATAAATTTATATCTCAAATGCTAGAAAAGTAAAAACTTTTTGAATAAAAAAAAATGTAAAAGTATGTTAATTTGTTTGTCATTCTATATTGATTTGTAATATATCTTTATTTTTATCTGGAAGTGTACTTTATTCCCTAATGCTCTTGTTTTGTACTGATCAGAGAAGAAATTGGGGCCAGTCTTATTTCACAGACTGAGTAAAATTACCGATTCTAATAGAATTACTCTGGTAGAATTACTAAATCGAGTAGAATTACTAACTTGAGTAGAATTACAAACTTTCTGCAAGCAATCTGGATCAATTTAATTTTCTTGGGAGAATTCAAACCAATGGAAAAGAGGGCCAAGTAAATGATGCCAACCATCTAGCCCATTTATCAAGTTTACAAATATTATTAAAGATAATGTATATTACCTATATAAGTTTTAAACAAGAGGGTCATTATGGCCCTGAAATCGCTCACCTGGGGTAGGGCCAATTTTAACCAAAGGGCTTCTATTTGAACAATTTTGGTAGACACCTAATAATAAATATCTAAGCTCTAGCACTTTGGGGATTTTAAAAGAAGATTTTATAAGTGTTTACTATACACAAATAGGGAAAAACAATAATGCCCCCCTCCCGGGTCGGGCCAATTTTGACCCAAGGGATTTTATTTTAACAAACTTGGTACACACTCACAAGAAGATATTTAATGATTGGTATCTAAACTCTAGCTCTTTGGGTTTTTATAAGAAGATTTTTTCAGTTTTTATATACACAAAGGGAAAAACAATGACCCCCCTGGGGCGGGGCCAATTTTGACCCTAGAGCTTTTATTTGAACAAACTTGGTATACACCAACTAGAAGATGTATCATGCTTAATATCTAAGCTATAGCTATTTGGGTTTTTAATGCATGATTATAGATTAACACAGTGTACCGTTAATACTCGTTTAAAAACACTGGGACAATAATTTCTAATACTTAAAAGAAATGACGTATTCGACGAACTGATGTACTTACAAACAATTATATTGACGTATTTATCATTCGACAGATATTAGCTGGAAACTTTTATGTCTATGTCCTCCGTGATAATAGTTCAACCTTGGTTGGCTCGAACTACCAATCTCTCGAACAAATTTGCACAGGCCCTCCCAGTTTGAGCTAAGGAAGTTCGACTGTATAGGGAAAACAATAACCCCCTGGGACAGGGCCAATTTTGACCCAAGGGATTTTATTTACACAAACTTGGTAGACACCCACCTGAAGATGTTTCATGCCAAAAATCTAAGCTATAGCTATTTGAATTTTTTAAAAGAAGATGTTTTAAGTTTTTACTATATACATATATGGAAATCAATGACCCCTGGGGTGGGGCCGATTTTGACCCCAGGGCTATCATTTGAACAAACTTGGTAGACTCTGACTAGATGAAGCTTCATGCGATATATTTCAGCTCTAGGTCTTTTGGTTTTTTAAAGAAGATTTTTTAAGTTTTTTCTTCTGCATGGAATTAAATTCTTTGAACAATTTTTAAAGTCCACTACCAAAGGAACATTCCTGTGAAGTTTGGATGAAATTGGCTTAGCCGTTTATGCGGAGATGTCGTTTAAAGTAAAAGTTTACGGACGACAGACGAAAAGCGATCACAAAAGCTCACCATGTCACTTTGTGACAGGTGAGCTAAAAAAGAATCAAATGAAATAAAATATAACAACTAAGATTGTAACTTGATATAACCATAATTTATTCAAAAAGATTTTCCTCTTTTTGTTTTTTTCTCCAGGAAATAAAAAGGTTGTAGTTTATTATAGACATGGTCTTTTTGATTTTATTTTCTTTTTTAAGTTAGACTCTTGATAAATAAAATACCTGTCAGTTAGATAATAAAAAACTACCAGTATCATCAGACAACTGTAGACAATGATGTTACTAGGTAATATACATGACAGGGTAAATAAAAACAATAATTGGATATAATGATCGACGATGTTTTAGGAACTTTACTTCCTTTACCAGCATTTTTGAAGACCTTGAAATTGTTGGTGATTTCTGACCTTAAATAAACCATAAAATAACAAATAGACAACAGTTATACTGAGTTTATCAGAGAAAACAGCATATTATCATCAGTTTAATGATAGTTGGCAATTCAGTGGCTCAACAAGTCTATTTTAATTTCATTCCATTTTTTTCCATCTGCAGAACAAAGCTTTTCAGTCCCAACTGTAAGATTCTGAAGAAGCTTTCCACCACTAGCACCAATTTCACCATGTGTTACAGTTACTTCCTGCTAAGTGTCCTTCAGAAGTTTTGGAGGGTTTGTATCTGATGCTTCCTCAGAATGACGTTTACGTGAACTGTCTTCCGTGGTGGCGGCTGTCCATTCTTCTCCGGTATCCGGATCTCGTACTTTTTGGAACATGTACACACAGTATATTGCTGTAGAAAAACAAGAAGTACAGTTTACTGAATGCCAAGTTAATTTATAGGTCATAAACAAATATATTTCATAATACAAGTGACAGGAAATTGTCACAAAGCCAGTTTCTATCTACATCATTACATATGTGAAAACAGCAATAGGCCATAATTCTGACAAAAATTATTAAATCACAAGATCCTGAAATACTGTGCTTGACCACTTGGCAACAATCGTTCTGTTATAGTTTAGTTGAAATATTATTAGAAATTTAGGAGTCGCTATTGGATAAATTGTTTATGCTAGCAAACCATATTGCCGATATTTGGTTTCTATAGTAAACTTGTTGACAAAGCCATTATAATATTCCAAGTTTTCTTGAACCAATATAACTTAAAAATCCATTTCATTATCCCCCGCCGATGGAATCGGGAGGGGGATATAGTTTTGGCGTTGTCCTTCCCTCCGAATTTCGTTTCCGGAGTAGTTCTCTGCAACTTCTGGCTGGAATTCAACGAAACTTTATGGGAATCATCAATATCAAGACGAGATGCGCATATCGTCAGCTTGTTCCTGTCAGACACTTTAACTCAGAGTTATTGCCCTTGATTAGTTATGTAGTATGCATATAGAGTAAAAATCGTTTCCGCACTTCTTCTCTGCAACTACTGGCTGGAATTCAACAAACTTTATGGGAATCATCAATACCAAGAGGAGATGCGCATATCGTCGGCTTGTTCCAGTCAGACACTTTAACTCAGAGTTATGGCCCTTGATTAGTTATGCAGTATGCATATGGAGTAAAAATCGTTTCCGCGCTACTTCTCTGCAACTACCGGCTGGAATTCAACGAAACTTTATGGGAACCTTCAATACCAAGAGGAGATGCGCATATCGTTGGCTTGTTCGGGTCAGACACTTTAACTCAGAGTTATGGCCCTTGATTAGTTATGCAATATGCATATGGAGTAAAAATCGTTTCCAGAGTAGTTCTCTACAACTACTGGCTGGAATTCAACGAAACTTTATGGGAATCATCAATATCAAGAGGAGATGCGCATATCGTCGGCTTGTTCTGGTCAGACCCTTTAACTCAGAGTTATTGCCCTTGATTAGTTATGCAGTATCCATATAGAAAAATATTTGTTTCCTCGCTACTTCTCTGCTACTACTGGCTGGAATTCAATGAAATTTTATGGGATACTAAGAGGAGATGTGCATATAGTCGTCTTGTTCCAGTCAGATACTTATAACTCAGATTTATGGCCCTTGATTAGTTATGTAGTATGCATACATCTCATTGGCATTTCCAGATTTTACTATTTAACACAAAGTTATGGCTCTGTTATTGCCCTGAATATTTATCAAGTTCAAAGAATATTACTGTTTATGCCATGATTAATATATAAATAAAGCCTTATGTCTTCACTTGTTGTGTTAATAATAACCAGTACTCGGCGGGGGATATAAATTCAACGAATTTGCTTGTTAAATATTGAGTTGGTTTATCTTCTTGTACTTGTACTATTTTGAAACACATTCATATTATTTGCGTACAATAGAGAATTTAATACTTACTGACAGCTTCCCATTCTGCTTTGGATAATGTGCCCTGTAAGTAAATAAATAATCTTGACAACCTTTCTTGTATCTACTTTTAGAGGGGCAACTGTGACCAACTGGTTAAGGTCATTATCTTCAAAACACTTGCCCCTCACTGCTGTAGGTTCTAATCCCACCAGGGACATACATTCATATAAGGAGGCTATCCAACTAACTAACAGAATGTCAGTGGTTCTTATCAGGTGTCCGTCTGTTTCTGACATTATGCATGGAAAGGGCACCTCAGGTCAACCTCCACTAGTAAAGCTGGAAATTTGCACAGTGATATTTTTTTTCCAATCTTCGAAACAACCTGTGGCTTTCTGAAGGGGAAAATATAGCGCAATAAATCAGAAATGGGGGAAAATCAAATTCCAGCAACTGAGAATGGAATTTACCCATACATTTTATACAATTTTCAATTTCAATTTAACATGCATGGTACAAAGCAAAGGCTATAGGGACAGCTTTCTGTCTTCTAGCTGATATAATAAGTCAGATGCTGTTAAGAAATGGTTCTGGTGAAGAAGTGCACTGGGCATTTCAGGAAAAATTATTAGCTTTTTTAGGTGAAAATATACCTATTTTGAGCTAGGGGAAACCGTCTTTATTCGGCTACAAAATACAGGCAAAAAAATCAATGTGACTTGAAATGTGCTAGTGTGACAATGCCCTCCGACACAATCCACTTTTAGTTTGATTATTTCCTATTAATTTACAATGTATTTGATAATGTTTTTGGCTGGATTTTAATACTATCCACATCATAAAGGTCATATGGTAAGTTTCCAGCTTTACTGGAAGGCTTGTGGTACACCTCCATGTTTAATTGTTTGCCTCGGGTTAATATTTCCATATATCTAAACTGTAAAAAAATCTTTATATAACTAATATAAAACTAGAAGAAGAAAATTTCTCGAACACTGAGACTGGCTATCACAGAATTTCTACCTTATTAAAAATCAGCAAGAGATGGAATTTTACCCTTTGACTGGAAAATGTACTATGATTACATGTAAAATGAATTGCGTTCTGTAAACAAGAGGGCCATGATGGCCCTGAGGTCGCTCACCTGTATATAGCCCCCCCCCCCCCACACCCATTAGAAGATGTTTCATGCTAAACATCTAAGCTCTAGCTCATTGGGCTTTTTAAAAGAAGATTTTTTTAAGTTTTTACTATACACATATAGTTAAAAACAATGACACCCCTGGGGCGGGGCCAGTTTTGACCCCAGGGCTTTTATTTGAACAAAGTTTGTAGACACTTACTAGAAGATGTTTCATGCTTAATATCTAAACTCTAGCTATTTGGGTTTTTTCAAAGAAGATTTTAAGTTTTTGCTATACACATATAAGGAAAATCAATGACCCCCGGGGCGGGGCCAATTTTGACCCAAGGGCTTTAATTTGAACAAACTTTGTAGACACTCACTAGAAGATGTTTCATGCCAAAAATCTAAACTCTAGCTATTTGGGTTTTTTCAAAGAAGATTTTTTAAGTTTTTGCTTTACAGATATAAGGAAAATCAATGACCCCCGGGGCAGGGCCAATTTTGACCCCAGGGCTTTTATTTGAACAAACTTGGTAGACACCTATTAGAACATGTTTGATGCTAAATATCTTAGCTCTAGCTCGTTGAGTTCTTTAAAAGAAGATTTTTTAAGTTTTTACTATATGCATATATAAGGAAAATCAATGACCCCCTGGGGCGGGGCCAATTTTGACCCCAGGGCTTTTATTTGAACAAACTTGGTAGACACTCATTAGAACATGTTTCATGCTAAATATCTTAGTGTTAGCTCTTTGGGTTTTTAAAAAGAAGATTTTTTAAGTTTTTACTATATGCATATAGGGAAAATCAATGACCCCCTGGGGCGGGGCCAATTTTGACCCCAGGGCTTTTATTTGAACAAACTTTGTAGACACTCACTAGAAGATGTTTCATGCCAAATATCTAAGCTCTAGCTCTTAGGGTTTTTTAAAAGAAGATATTTAAAGTTTTTTCTTTCGGTTGCCATGGCAACCAGAGTTCTGCATGGAATTAAATTCTTTGAACAAATTTTAAAGGTGACCACCAAAGGAACATTCCTGTGAAGTTTGGATGAAATTGGCCTAGTGGTTTATGAGGAGATGTCATTTAAAGTAAAAGTTTACGGACGACGGACGTCGGACGAAAAGCGATCACAAAAGCTCACCCTGTCACTTTGTGACGGGTGAGCTAAAAAACAAACAAATAAAGCTTTCTCACGACAGAGATTGGTCTATTTCCATGATGAGCGTCTTCCGACTGAGATTTCTGTAATTCCTCCACCATAGATTTAACATGATCATAATCTCCGTCCTCCAGTCCCATCAATTTACCACCTTCTTCTGGGGGATACATCTGGTAGGGGAAAAAAACAGAACCATTTATTTTCCAAATTTTGACATAATTTTACTGTGTGATGTAATTTTACTGTAAGTAAAATATGATGTACAACATTTCTGATACAGTCATCTCCCATGTTTATCTTTTCAAAATAAACTTTTTCTAGAGGATACATTGGGTAAAAAAAAGCAGATAACAATAACATATATTTTTGCACAACATGAAATAGTTTTTTTCTTTACTGTTAATTCAAATATGATGTACACTTTTACTGATTCGCTATTTCCCTTGTTTTGAGCATTTTAAATAAAGTAAAAAAAAGCAATCAAAATATTATCATCCTGTCCAAACATGAGAATATTAAACAACATATATCATTCCTGCTTTTCAATCCAACTTTAAACAGGAACAATTATAGTTTTTATGAAAGCATTTATATTAGATATCATAATACAAAATACCGAACGTTATATTTTTGCCAAATTTGCAAACCATTACATAGTTAAAAAGGTGCTTAGATATTAATAAAAACTACAGCAATTAATTTTTATAAAAAAGTTGCTTTATTCCAACTGTCCATTGTTTACCCAAGTGTTTATGCTATAAAAATGTTATACAGTTGAGTTCACACTAAAGGTTACACAAAGTGCACTAGGAGTGCACTAGATGTGCACTACTAGTGCACTTCAAAGTGCACTTCATAAGTGCACTTTGTAGTGCACCAGACCTATTATATGTATTAAGCAGTTACCTTTTATTTCAATGAATAGCAATTTGACTTTAACAAAAAGATAGATAAATATAGACATCTGTATAATAGTTTTTCATAACAAATTTAAAGTTGCGAATATTGGATTTTGTAAAATATGGCGTAAAATATTAGAACAATAATTTATCAAAATCAGTAATTTTACTGATTTTAAAACTTAATTTTTAGAGTAAGTAAATATAAATAATTATAACTTTAATGTTGATAAGTGCATAAATAAACAAAATTAATTGATATTTAATATGATTTTATTTTATTATAATCACAGATTTATATTACAATTATTGTAATATAAATCCGTGATTATAATCTGGTATCTGGTAATGAAATATGAAACATTGAAATGCTCAATGCTCATTAAACAAAATTCAGTCAAGTTTTTTTTTTTTGGTTGGGGGGGGGGGGAATTATACCAATAAGTTATTTTTGATCTAACTTATGGTTGTTTTAGGTAAAGGTAATGATTTTAAGCATAAATAGCCTTTAATACATTAGAGATCTAATATGTTTATAATTGGCCAAATTTTTGTCAATTTTATCTCATTTATAATCTCTCTTACCTTCTGAAACTGAGATTTACCTAAGATTAATATAAATGATATATGTTATTCTAAAAATAGATATTTATATATAATGGTGGTATATTAAGTATCGATATGTGTGGATTAAGTATTGATATGTACCTGTGGGACACTAGTATACTTTAACTGACGTGTATATTAACAAAAGATTAGAAAACCTTTCCATTTCCTTTTTTTTGCGATGACACCAATGTTTTTTTCTTTTTTTCATGCATTGTAACATAATTATGCAATATGGTTATTTTTATGAGTTTATTATAAAATGCAAAAATATTTCAGTTTTCTTTTTTGTACTACTTAAGGGTGGGAAGTTTAGTGTGAACTCAACTGTAATTATACAGCCAACATTATAGAGCCTGGTTAAGAGTACACTTAACCACTCGTCCACGGACACCCCTTCACTGACTTGAATACAAACCTAACAATGTAATGGTTATATAGGCGTAATTAGTTCTGTTATCAACTAAGGTGTTATATCATATATCATTGAGTTCACTGCTGACAAAATAATTGCTTCAGCATATATGATTTTCAAAAAAAAACACAAAAAAACCCCAAAAAATATTTATATTCTGTTTTTCTGAAACATAAATTTACCTCCAATGCCTGCATTCTACTTAAAAGGTTCCTATGATCCCTGTTTTCTACATTTTTGTTGAAAAACTCAGCAAATGGTGTTTTAAAGACCAGTTTCATACCGTGTTTCTCTGCCATCCTGTAAATTATTAAACACTCATATATAATTTCCTGAGTTTATACACTGATCATGCTTTTAATTGGTCGGCCCACTTTAGCTTGATAAGGGATACTATCTCAGCATTTAGATTTGTTATCTAGGGGTTGTTGGTGCAATCCTTGGGCGAGGTGAAATTTCTCTTTGACAACTGATATCTTAGATATTATGTCTTATGGTCATTTGTCTCTCCACTGATTCAGTTATCATAATGGATTATTAGTCAGTTACTTGCTGCGATATTATTGGTTATTACTTGTTAGTTTTCAAGGGAAGCTGGTAAGATGGATCAACAGCTGAGGTATGACCTAAAATGTGATAAAATCCACGTAAAACCCCGTGGCCTGGTGGTGGTTAATGTGTCTGTGGATCAACCAAGTGATTCACTGTTTTAGCTTTCCTCAGGTCAGGACCATGTTTCCTCAAATGATACCAATTACAAGAAGCTTACAAACAATGATTAGTATAAGTTGCATGAACTTGTTTCAAAATCAAGCTAAAATAAAATCTAAACTTAAATTTCTTGACTATGCACGGGTAATATAACAAGAGGGCCATGATGGCCCTAGATCGCTCACTTGACCCATCAAACTCATCCAAACAATTACCTAGACAAGCATTCTGACCAGGTCTCATGACAGGTGAGTCAAAAATGTGACCACTACAGTGTTAACAAGGATTATCCATATTTGAGCAGTGTGACCTAGTTTTTTTACCCAGGTGACCCATATTCAAACTTGACCTAGAAATCATCAAAACAAACTTTCAGACCAATTTCCAGGATACTTGGATCAAAACAGTAGCAACTAGAGTGTTAACAAGATTTTTCTATTTTTAGCTCCGGTGACCTAGTTTCACATGCGATTTCGAACTCATCCGAGCAATTACCTAGACAAGCATCCTGACCAAGTTTGATGATGATTGAGTAGAAAATGTGACCACTAGAATGTTAACAAGGTTTTTCCATATTTTGGCGGTGTGATCTAGTTTTTCATCCAAGATGACCCATGTTCGAACTTGACTTAGAAATCATCAAAACAAACTTTCAGACCAATTTACAGAATATTTGGATCACAACAGTAGCCACTAGAGTCTTAACAAGATTTTCTATTTTTAGCTCCTGTGACCTAGTTTTTCATCCGAGATGACCCATGTTTGATTTAATCCCAGTAATGACCTAGACAAGTTTCCTGACCAAGTTTGATGACAATTGAGTCAAAATTGTGACCACTAGAGTGTTAACAAGGTCTATTTTTCGCCCTTGTGACCTAGTTTTTCATCCGAGATGACCCATGTTCCAACTCATCCGAGCAAGTACCTAGACAAGCATCCTGATAATGTTTGATGACACTTGTGTCGAAAATGTGACCGCTAGAGTGTTAACAAGATTTTTCTATTTTTTTTAGTTTAGTATTCTAGTTTTTCATCTGAGATTACCCATGTTCGAACTCATCCAAGCTATCACCTAGACAAGCATCCTGACCAAGTTTGATGATGATTGAGGCAAAAATGTGACTGCTTGAGTGTTAACAAGGTTTTTCTATTTTTAGCTGCGGTGACCTACTTTTTCATCCGAGATGACCCGTGTTCGAACTCATCTGAGCTATCACCTAGACGAGCATCCTGACCAAGTTTGATGATGATTGAAACAAAAATATGACTGCTAGAGTGTTAACATGGTTTTTCTATTTTTAGCTCTTGTGACCTAGTTTTTCATCCGAGATGACCCATGTTCCAACTCATTCGAGCAAGTACCTAGACAAGCATCCTGATAATGTTTGATGACACTTGTGTCAAAAATGTGACCGCTAGAGTGTTAACAAGATTTTTCTATTTTTAGCTCCGGTGACCTACTTTTTCATCCGAGATGACCCATGTTCGAACTCATCTGAGCGATCACCTAGACAAACATCCTGACCAAGTTTGATGATGATTGAGGCAAAAATGTGACCTCTAGAGTGTTAACAAGGTTTTTCTATTTATAGCTCTTGTGACCTAGTTTTTCATCCGAGATGACCCATGTTCGAACTCATCTGAGCTATCAACTAGATAAGCATCCTGACCAAGTTTGATGATGATTGAGGGAAAAATGCGACCGCTAGAGTGTAAACAACTAAATGTGAACGGACGACGGACAATCATCGATTCTAAAAGCTCACCCTGAGCATGCTCAGGTGAGCTAAAAATGCCAACAGGTAGTGAATATTTGGTTGTGAAATCATATTTCATCACAAAGTTCTCAGCTTGCACATTTTATTTTATTATCAAGACTATTTTTCAACCATTATGTGTCATATTGGGAGATTTGCAATGTGTATGTAAGAATATATCATGCGGCAAAGGATTTTATTAAAACAAGAGGGCCATGATGGCCCTGAGGTCGCTCACCTGTATAGTGGCCCCCGCAGCCGGGCCAGTTTAAACCCTAGGGCTTTTATTTGAACAAACTTGGAAGATACCCATTAGAAGATGTTTCATGTTGTTTAGTATTTACTACACACATATAATGAAAAACAATGATGTGCCCCCCCCCCACCCCCTCCGGCAGGGCCAATTTTAACCCAAGGGCTTTTATTTGAACAAACTTGGTAGACACCCATAAGAAGATGTTTCATGCTAAATATCTAAGCTCTAGCTCATTGGGTTTTTTAAAAGAAGATATTTTATGTTTTTACTATACAAATATATCTAAAAACAATGACACCCCAAGGGCGGGGCCAGTTTTGACCCCAGGGCTTATATTTGAACAAACTTTGTAGACACTTACTAGAAGATGTTTCATGCTTAATATCTAAACTCTAGCTATTTGGGTTTTTTCAAAGAAGATTTTTAAGTTTTTGCTATACACATTTAAGGAAAATCAATGACACCTGGGGCGGGGCCAATTTTGACCCCAGGGCATTTATTTGAACAAACTTGGTAGACACCCATTAGAACATGTTTCATGCTAAATATCTTAGCTCTAGCTCTTTGAGTTCTTAAAAAGAAGATTTTTTAAGTTTTTACTATATGCATATAGGGAAAATCAATGACCCCCTGGGGCGGGGCCAATTTTGACCCCAGGGCTTTTATTTGAACAAACTTGGTAGACACTCACTAGAAGATGCTTCATGCCAAATATCTAAGCTCTAGCTCTTTGGGTTTTTTAAAAGAAGATATTTAAAGTTTTTTCTTTCGGTTGCCATGGCAACCAGAGTTCTGCATGGAATTAAATTCTTTGAACAATTTTTAAAGGTGACCACCAAAGGAACATTCCTGTGAAGTTTGGATGACATTGGCTTAGTGGTTTATGAGGAGATGTCATTTAAAGTAAAAGTTTACGGACGGACGCCGGACGGACGCTGGACGAAAAGCGATCACAAAAGCTCACCCTGTCACTTTGTGACAGATGAGCTAAAAAAGATAATTAAAATCACAGTGTACCAGTACCATACATCTGCCAAAATAAATTTTAAAATAGAAGTGTCAGCAAAAAAAAATTTGAGTACAAGTGTACAAGACTATGTATTATTTCAACATTTAAATATTTTCCACTATATTCAACAATACTGTACCATGTATGCGGTCATGTCTTACTTTTCAAGTACAGGGAAGAATACTAGAAATTCTGGGCAGTCGACTACACCCTCAAGATGGAAATTGTACTTGCAACCAAACAAGGGAAGGTTTGTTTTATCTTCACCATCAAACGTGACACGATAAACGTCGTTACCAAATGACATATCTTTTGAATCTCTTAATCTTCGTCTGAAATAAACAATGGGTAATAATTGAACAATCATTTAGATCTGAGCAAGTCATGGGTAAAAATTGACCAATTATATTTAGATCTGAGCAAGTACTATGTAGCACCAGTAGCTCAAACTTGTATCAAATATTATATTTAATCATATTTAATGTTTAAGTATCTCAAAACAATTTAAATAAAACAGCTATTTCTGATCATAAAAAAAAAGAGTGAGGTCTTTATCACAACCCCCATTCCCCCCAAAAAAACTTGCCTTCAAAACTCATACTTTCATTAATACACAAGACATATTTATACCAAGCATACAAAAAACAAACAAAAACAAATGTACTCCAACCCCTGTAAACACAATACAAACTTACACCAGTTCCTGTGAGTTAGGCGTAGTTCCTATAAAGAAACCTCCCAGTTTCAATGACTCTGTAGCATTCTGTAACATCATCTCAGCTTGTGGGAGACTCTCAAAACAATAATGGAATGAAAACTGACAACTACAAATATCAAACTGAGTATCGTGGTCTTTATACATATCTTTTAACCTCTCCTGAAAAATAAAATAAGTTTTTATAAAAAATACTGATTCAAATTTTATGTACATAATTTTATATACCCTTTTTCCTATTATGTTTATCTCATTATTTACAAGATATAATTATGTTTATCTTTTTTTCTCAAACATTAAATTATGCCATCTTTCCATTAGAATCTTAATTATTTGTATCTCATTTTTCGTTGTATTTATGTCATTCTTATATTTGTTTAGTTTATGTTTATATCAGTATCTGGGCGGCATCCCAGTCCAACTATGTTTCCCTGGTCTTCATTGGCGGTATTTGTTCACCCAGATATGGGAAAATTATTTTATATGTATGTAATTATGTTGTTTTCGGCAAAATAAATTTGCCCGTTTTCAATCAATCATGATTTTGCTTATGAATTTCCCCATACACAGTCCACAGGGTCAGTGCTTCTCTATAAACAGATGCACATAAATGTATTTTATAGATAGATAAAATATTTTATGTCATTGTTGAACAATCAGTAAATCAAACCGACTCTTAATGTAGGTTAAACTAGTAAATCAAACTGACTCTCAATGTATATTTGGCATTGGCCAATCTGAGAGCACCCTTAACGTCACGTGCTCTCTAACAACCAATCAATCAACGGCATCGGTCTTTCTGGAAAAAATTTTAGAAGGGAAAAGCACGCTACATCTGCTCTGCTATAATTTTACCACCACCTCCCGTTTTCCTCCTCCGCTATGTTTTTCTCAAGGGTTACCAATAGTCAATATTAATTTTGAAACGATGTTTTGTATTAATTTTAAAATAATTTTTGACAGTTATGCTGTTCCTTCATTAACTAGAGTCTTAAAATAATTTTTGACAGATTACTGTTCCTTCATTAACTTAGATAAGTATGTAATTGTTGTTGTTGTTTCTGTATATTATTGTTAGGCGGTACGGTATTTGTTCACCCAGATATGGGAAAATTATTTTATATGTATGTAATTATGTTGTTTTCGGCAAAATAAATTTGCCCGTTTTCAATCAATCATGATTTTGCTTATGAATTTCCCCATACACAGTCCACAGGGACTATACTATTTGTATCTGCTATTCGCGTAACCTGTCAATTATCGTTAACGCTCCGCCCCCTGTTGAGGCATCAATGAGGGAAATCGGTAGTTCCATAATTCTGTGAATTACAGGTCCATACTTCTCGTAATACATGTATCGTACAACTACCATACATCTTTTATGAATATCTCAACATTTAGCCTTTTTTATAAATTAAGAAATTGTCGGCCAATGTATGTAACATAATGTATGAAACATAAATAATTAAGCATAGCGGCAAATCGCACGACCACAGGGTTGATTAAAAATGTAGTTGCTAAAATATCCATAATGTGTGAAAATAATTTGTCTGTCCCGTTAATCTGATAGATATTACATTGAGTTGATAGACTTTTGTATGGATTCAAGGGCTTACTTTACATTCAACCTCGTTTTCTAACAATGTCAAGTAAAACAACAACAAAAACAGACAACATTTTTTATGTGAACGCCTATATGACTTGTGGTCAGGTGTCCCTGACAAATTTCTAAACCATTTTAGATTGTCTAAGGATGATTATTTCTCTATGAATTAAAAAGGTATTAAAAAATATTCTCAGTGAAAATAAATTGTTCGCTAGTAAATCGGACACAGTACTACAAAGTATGACATTTATTGTCTATCCCGGTAGAAACTGGATCTCTATGCCGTGCATAGATGATATTCATAATAGAAGTCAAGAAGGCCAGATCATAATGATCGAGTAATACCTTTTATTTCTATTAAAATATGTGAAGCCTTATCAATTTGGTGGAAAAAATATATAATATCCCGTTCTTATTTGTACATCTACCATGGACTTTAAAAGACTGTCAGAAGCTCAGTTTTTTGTTATTTTATTTTATATTTTAACGGAATATTATACACGAATACACAGGCAGAGTGACACTGGTATAATACAATAATAATGCTGATGATAATAATAATAAACTTCAAAAAGGAAACAATTAAATACCCCGCTAGCGGTGCGCAAATGCGTCCATTTCCCCCCACTGAGTGCCTCAAATTTTACCGATAGTCACGTGACATGTGCGACAGATACCAGACGGACAGTAAATCACGTTAAGAATTGAAGAATTTTCGGCTATAAACTGATATTAATCAGCAGCTTTTTAATTGGTCAGATGTCACTGGGTCATAAAATGTTGTTAGAGTATGTTACCGCAACTTGTGACCCTCTCTGGTGCGATATTTGTGTATTATGCAATTATTTAGCGTGAAACGTAGGGGTCCGAGAGAGAACAGCCGATTTATGACACTTCGTTTGATGCGGGTCCGACTAACTTTGAATCGGCATACCTTCTTTAATAATCAAGCAATTAACATGCGGTTTAAAGCACATGAAAGGGAATTCATTTACGGAGGAAACCGTGTCAGGAATTTTTGTTTGCTCAATCAGCGACTTAATTATCTTTAATTACGTAATATGTATGGTGAAAAAAGTCGCATAAAATGTTTGACGTTACGTAATATTTTTTTGAGAAAAGATAGAAAAAATTTGAGACACGGTTCCCCAGATAATATAAGTATGGTTATTTTCCAAAAGTTTGATGACAAAAAAATAAAAAATGACTTTGATATGACGATTTAAAATTTTAGGATTTTTATTCAAAATCAATCATTTACAAAGGCATTTTTTTCAAATATGTTATTTTTTATGATGATCAACAACATTTAATGCACAAAGATTAAATAAATAACAATTATTACTAAAATAACTTTGTTTAAATGACATTTATGTGAGTACCACGGAAAGTGTCTGTTGTCACCTTAAACTTATATTTCTCTACATACAGACCTTAGAACAATCAGCGGTGATAAATTCAGCTGAGAAAACTCTATCCTTGTATCGTTCTTTCTCCACCATATCTTTATAGCGGTTCTCAGACTGTTCAACTGACGTCCCTGCAATATCTGCAACGACAACAACAAATTCAAACGCTAAAATCAAACATGATTAAAAGGAAGCCCCTACTTTAAGCTCTTAACCTATTTTAAGTAGGTTTAGTGATTATTTCTCGCATGTTCACCTCGCATTATTTGTCAATTTCGATACATTTTTTATGATTTTAATCAAAATACATAACTTTCAATATAATAACAATTTGTGACATTCAGAAAATAAGTGTTTTCTAAGTGACATATTTCAAATGCTTTAAGTTTACATTTTAAGTTACAAAGAAGATGACCTTGACCTTAAAAACCTTTAATATCACAAAGAAAACTTTTGTATTTGTCTGCCTTGTAACACCAACAAATACAAAATTAATCTTTTAAGAAAGTAAATCATAAAGAAATTAACACTATACCTGCACAAACAATTTTTCTTATATTTCCACGTTTCCATTTGAGTAAATCCCCTCCCTTCCCAGAACACAGATCTAATATTGCAATATCTCTCCCATGACCTCGCTCATTCTTCAGTTGTTGTAAAGTCTCAGCTGAAATAAAGTGCAAATATTTCTATTGTGTTTTTAGTTATTTAATATACACATATTATAAGTATAATCATTCTAATTCTTTATATGAAAAATCTATATTTATGGTTCTAGGATCAAAATAAAGAAAATAAACATTTCTATATCAAACTATTTAAGAATGGTGGACAAGTGGTAAAGATGTCTTCCTGTCGACCGGTGCAATGCCTGTAAAACTTTTACCCTACTTGGGACCACGTTTCCTCATATAACACAATGCTAAGTAGTTCCAGGAAGGGAACTAGGCACTTCTTCAAATATGCTACGATATTTCTCACAATCAATCAAAAATATATATTATTCCCAACTATAATTTCAAGTCAGAACCCTGAATATACAATACAAACCTTACCAATAACAACACTTTTAATCCAGTTGTTAAAATTCCTCATGTAGTAGATTCTACTTTCAGTGCGGACATCTTTCCCTGCTTCTTGTAGCTCATTGTAGTGCTTAGCAACCAACTGACCTTGACCTTCTTTATTATGTTGACCTTGACCTTGTTGGTCATTTCTACCCTCAGACTGAGGCTCTGCCATAATCAATGAACTGCTGTAAGACAAGATACATTACACTTGTATATGAAATTTCAAACACAATAAATACTTTGAAAATCATTTTTTCATTCAAATTAAAAGTAAAGGCCCATTATACCTCAGAAATGCAACTGTTGTTTTTTTGGTATATTGTTAGTTCACAAAAAATATACTCCTTTGCTATATACATGAACTATTTTTTGCATCTTTAGTTCTGTTGGCAATTTGTATAATTATAGTGAATAAGGAAATTGTATGGAAGTCAAAATACTAATTTGTTTACATTTTACCTTTACGAAACATAACTGCATGTTCATCGATTCTTTTTTCACTTGTAACACATGTTCAAATTTAAATGCACTTAATCTATTATTCAAAAATTGTTATACAAATATTTGACATTTCAAAGAATTAAAATTATGGATTTATTGTCATAATGCTCTTTGTAACAGGTAAGCTAAAAATGGAAACTTTTTAGTTATATGGTAAACTTTGGGCGACAAATGCTACAGGGTGAGAAAAAGTGCAGCCTGACCGGGATACACAGGGCTTTTTTGCCAGTGTCTATTTTAGGATTTGAAAAACAGAGGGGATTTTTACCTAAAAGTGAGAATGTATTACATTTGTTGATTTTTTTCCTTCTTTAACTATGTAAAATTTCCCCCCTGTTTCTGAAACAAGAGGGCCATGATGGCCCTGAAATCGCTCACCTGTATATAGGCCCCTGGGCCAAGGCCAATTTTAAACCAGGGGCTTTTATTTGAACAAACTTGGTAGACACCCATTTGAAGATGTTTCATGATAATTATCTAAGCTTTAGCTCTTTGGGGTTTTTATAAGGAAGATTTTTTAAGTTTTTACTATATACATAATTATAGGGAAAAACAATGACCCCCTTGGCAGGGCCCAATTTTGACTCCAGGGCTTTTATTTGAACAAACTTGGTAGACACTCAATATAAGATATTTCATGCTTAATATCTAAACTCTAGCTCTTTGGGTTTTTTATAAGAAGATTTTTTAAGTTTATACTATACACAAAAGGATAATCAATGACCCCTGGGGAGGGGCCAATTTTAACCCAAGGGCCCTTATTTGAACAAACTTGGTAGACACCCATTAGAAGATGTTTCATGCTCAATATCTTAGCTCTAGCTCTTTGGGGTTTTTAAAAGAAGATTTTTTAAGTTTTTACTACATACAGATGTGGAAAATTAATGACCCCCCCGGGACGTGGCCAATTTTGACCCAAGAGCACTTGGTAGACACTGACTAGATGATGTTTTATGCCAAATACTTAAGCTCTAGCTCTTTTGGTTTTCTAAAAGAAGATATTTTAAGTTTTTTTCTTTCGGTTGCCATTGCAACCAAAGATCTGCTTGGAATTAAATTCTTTGAACAAATGTTTAAGTTGACAACCAAAGGAACATTCCTGTGAAGTTACATTCAAGTATGGATGAAATTATCTCAGTGGTTTATGAGGAGCTGTTGTTTAAAGTAAAAGTTTACGGACGGACAGACTCCAGATGAAAAGCTATCATAAAAGCTAACCATGTTACTTTGTGACAGGTGAGCTAAAAATAGGGGGGAATTCTCAAAAATATAAATGAATCGCCTCATCCCCCCTCCTAAAATAGACACTGTTTTTCCTTCTATAACAGGGGCCCTTCACAATTCAAAATTGCACTCTTTTTTTTCACAAAGCAGCGGAAAAAAATTCACAATTTCAAAGAGATTTTCACATCCAAAATAATTGGGGATTTGTCTTCGAACATACAAGTTTATTTCTTTCGGGTAAAACCCTTGATTTTACACCAATTGCAATAACAACAGAAATAGCTTAATCAAGTTAAATGGTTTTGTGCATGTTAACGCGTGTTAAAGTACCCTTGGACTTTGAAACAGTTTTTCAAGGGCCAAAACCAGGCATTTTTTGGGAAGAAGGGGCCTTTTAAGGCCCTTTTTCAATTGGGGAAAAAATATTCGTGATTTTTTGGCATACTTTAGGAAAAGGAGGTCTCAAGTGTTAACAAACTTGTAACCAAGTTTTTCTTCTAATAATATTGAAAAGTAAGCAAAGCATGGGAAATACTTAAAATAAAGCAGTAAAAAGACCTTTAAAATTCAACACCAATGATTTAAATTTTTTTCTAATCTAAAAGAAATTTTTCAAAAAAACTAGGGGAAAAAGAGGCAGTTTGGTTGGGGAAAGGGCCACCCAAATATTCGCCTTTAAAACAGAAGGGATTTTTGGGGCCCTGGTTTTTAAATGTAGAACTTATAATCAACCCGTTTCGGGTTTTTAAAAATTTTTATGAAAACCCAAGAAATTTGGAAATGTTTTTTTTTTTCCACAATTTTTTTATGACATATGCGCTTTTTTACCAAAAAAAGGCGGGGCCCTTCACATTTTGACAAAAAAATACTGCCCACATAAACCCAAGACCTTCAAATTGCCACTCTTCAACAGAGCTACCCAAATTTATATTTCCTTTTAAAAAAGGGATTTCAAAATTTATTTTGTGAAAAACCCCTGTACTAGAAAAACTTTTTTGTTTTTGGGTCCTAAACTTGGGTATAAAATGTGGCACGATACTTCATTTGGGTTTTTAAAGACCCTGACCCCCCTTCCTTTGGAGGCCCCGGGTTCGATCCGGGGTAACATTTACAACCCCTTTTGGGATTTTCCAGAGCCACTTTCAGTGTTTCCCCCCTTCCCCTGGTAAAAATTCCAAAATTTTCCTAAAATAAAATTTTACGGACAGCCCTGAAATTTTTTGGAAAAATTCCAAAAATTTTTAAACAGATTTTTATCATTGAAAATTTACAACATTTAGTAAAAAAAAACAAAAAAAATTTTTTGCATTAAAAAGTCAAAAACCGCATTTTTAAAATTAAAAAGGGTTTCCCGTTTTTTAAAATGTTTAAAATGTAACAGTATGGAAAATTCAGAAAATTTTTGTTACTTTCTTTTAACCTTTTTAAAAAAATTTCCAAATCATCAAAAAAAGGGAAAAACCTAACCAAACCTTTTTTATAAATAAAAAACCAATCAATAAAAAAAACCTTGTTTTTAAGCTGTGGTTTTCAGTGTAAACTTAAAAACTAAAAATTTCCCAAAATTGAAATTTTCTGAAAATTTATGGATTGAAAAATCTTTAAATGTCTTGACTTTATTGCGAACTGTTAAAATCAAAGAAAAAATCTGTGTAAAATAATTTGACTTCCTATTTATTTTCATGCATCAAAACTTCGCAATGCTATTCTAACGTATAATATTTATGGCTCATCCTCTACCTTTTTTTGATTATAGTTTTGATTTATAGTACTACTGATTTTTTTTTTTTTTTGAAATTGTTATTTTATGAAAATTTGTTATAAAACCTAAAATTTTGGTTTATGCATTAAAATTTGGCCTTGTTTTTATGTAATTGCAATGAAATGGAAGGGGAAACCCGAAAGGGTTTAATTTTTTGGGGAAAAAACTGTTTCTTTTCTGTTTTTTGGACAGTCCATTAAATAATCATAAAACCTAGACTTTGGAAAATTTTCCCTTTATCCAGCGTAGAGCGCGAGATCAGAAATCTCTTATAACCCCCTTCGAAGTCTAAACCCCCCTGAATTTTTCCGGGTAAAACCAGTATAAAATTTTTTTTAAAACCCTTATCGAGTCTTTTTTTAGCGAATTTCAGCTTTTGGAATCTACAGGAAATTGGGTTTTTTAAAACCCCAAATTCTGGAAATTTCTCTTTTTTTGAAAAAAAAATTTTTTTCCTTTTTCCTTTTTTACATGTTTTTTATTTTCCCAAACTTCATGGAATTTCCTCTGATGTGATGGTTATCAAGTTGTGCTTTTTCAAACAAGAGCTGTCGGTAGGACAGCATGCTCGACTATTCTTAGTGCTTGATAGTAAAAAAAAATGCCTGATACAGTTACCTCCTCCTGTTTACAGGTTGGGGTCATGATGGTGAACAAGTGTGCAAAGTTTCAAAGCCATATGTCAATGGACTTTGAAAATATTTGAACTATTACAAAAACTTTAACGTAAATTCTAAGTCCAAAAAGGGGCATAATTCTGTCAAAATGCTTGATAGAGTTACCTCCTCCTGTTTACAGGTTGGGGTCATGATGTTGAACAAGTGTGCAAAGTTTCAAAGCCATATGTCAATGGACTTTGAAAATATTTGAACTATTACAAAAACTTTAACGTAAATTCTAAGTCGAAAAAGGGGCATAATTCTGTCAAAATGCTTAATAGAGTTACCTCCTGCTGTCTACAGGTTGGGGTCATGATGTTGAACAAGTGTGCAAAGTTTCAAAGCCATATGTCTATGGACTTTGAAAATATTTGAACTATTACAAAAACTTTAACGGAAATTCTAAGTCGAAAAAGGGGCATAATTCTGTCAAAATGCTTGATAGAGTTACCTCCTCCTGTCTACAGGTTGGGGTCATGATGGTGAACAAGTGTGCAAAGTTTCAAAGCCATATGTCAATGGACTTTGAAAATATTTGAACTATTACAAAAACTTTAACGTAAATTCTAAGTCGAAAAAGGGGCATAATTCTGTCAAAATACTTGATAGAGTTACCTCCTCCTGTCTACAGGTTGGGGTCATGATGGTGAACAAGTGTGCAAAGTTTCAAAGCCATATGTCAATGGACTTTGAAAATATTTGAACTATTACAAAAAACTTAAACGTAAATTCTAAGTCGAAAAAGGGGCATAATTCTGTCAAAATGCTTGATAGAGTTACCTCCTCCTGTCTACAGGTTGGGGTCATGATGGTGAACAAGTGTGCAAAGTTTCAAAGCCATATGTCAATGGACTTTGAAAATATTTGAACTATTACAAAAACTTTAACATAAGTGGTTACGCCGACGCCGACGCTCGGGTGACTGCAATAGCTCTACTTATTCTTATCGAATAGTCGAGCTAAAAATACATTGTAATCTATATCTTCCTTCCCATTGTTGTATTTCCTTAAAACATAGCCTAAAAAAGGAAAAACAGGCCGGAAGCTTACCAAAGCTTGATCTTGATGTTGACACTTCGCCAGCCAACGCAGAACTCAATTCACTCAATCCTAGAACTATCCGGGCACTTTCCAGTCCCTTGAAAACCGTCGCGCATGCGCATGCAGTCCGGTAGGTCTAGGACCACTGCATCATTTCCTGCATTCACAACACTCCCCCCAACTTTATGAATGAAGGCTTCGGTCTTGGGAGTAATGCTGTGAATGCATCAGTAAAGAACTAGAAGCTCGTTTACTTCCTTAATTGTGAATTAATATCACATCGCGGCTTTAACTTACCCTAAATAAGTAGGCTGTAGAGGAAGGACTAGAAGTCCTTTTGGTACACTGGCGTTGCTGTAAAGCTTCTCAAAGGCTAGAAGCCACCTGGAACTTCATTTTTCACAACCACCAGCCTGGATGTATTGGATACTCGGATCAAAGCACACTGGACTCTTGATCTGTATTGAGGTTATTTTTGTTGTGGTATACCTGGAGCAATCTGGATCATTTCTCAGATGAACTAGAAGTTTCAACTGAATATAACAATGACGCTTTTACTGAAAAACTAGGAATCCAACCAGCACTTTACTTGGATGCATTATCAACTTTAGACTGGTGAACTAGAAGTTCGACCAGTTTCCTGCTGGTTTTTACTGATACTGCCCTTCATAGAGACACAGGGCGTTTGCGACTGTGATCTCCAGAATCCTTTCAGGCGAGGTTTGAAGACGGTGAGCCACTGCATTCGCTGCTCTATACAGTTGTCCAGGTGACGATACTCTGGATCCCCTACCGGGAAAATATGGTGCATCGGACTCAAGATAGCAACAACACATCATTTTTTTCACCTAATTGTTTAAATAAATAGTTTATTTCATTACATAGAGCTCATCATAAGCTTTCCAGAACAGTTTTCTTTTTTAAAATATCTTAATAAATAAAAAAGTTATGACTTCTTAAGATCTTAAAAAACGCGTAGTTTTTCAGAATTATTTTATATGCTTTTTTAATAGAAAGACAGCGCGCCGCGACGGAACCGAAATAATTATGTTTACGACTAATTCCGCACTTAAAATGCCATAACCTTTTTACTTTTTGAGATATTCTTATGAAATTTGGAATATAATTAGATTAGCAATTACTCTTTATAACTAACTGATTAAAAGTACTATATTTTTAGTGGTCAATTAACTGCATCTTATACAGTAAGCAAAGCATACATAAAATTTCACAATATTTTTTCTCGATTTATTTTTCAATTATCTACATATGTTAATAAACAATATACAACAACAGAATGAAAAACTTTAACAGGTATAAACATTAACAATTATCATTAACATTTGCTTTAGCATTTACATTAGCAATAACAAGTGCTTTACAGTATAAACAATTGCATGTCATCATTTTTCAGAAATATAATTTCTTAAACTTTTTGAACAATTTTTCAATTTTTTCACAGTCTTCGATATACCACATTCTGCCAGAATTCATACAGTCTGGAATAAACCCTGTTTTTAAAACAAACATAAATTCAACAGTTCTCTTCTCTACTAGGCCAGCAGAAATGATTTGCTTTCCTAGAAGGCATCATGAATTTAACAACAATCATTTTGTCTGTTTTAATTTCAAGCACTATGCCTGGATACCAGCCGTCCTGGTAGGCAACAACAATATAGTCATTTTGATTTACTTGTTCAAAGGTTGGAAGTTCTTTAATAAAATCATTTTTACATAGTTCAACATTAGTTCTTCTTGTTTTCCCATTTTTCAGATTCAAGTCACTTTTAGCTTTACGTTTGTTTTTAAGTTCGGGTTTTTTTGTCATTTCTTCATTTATTTCTATTAATACATTTTTTTCTTCTGTCCTGTGTTTTTCCCGTAAACGCTTACCACCAGATCTTGCAGATTTAAACAGAACTTCTTTTTCTTCTTGTGTTTTTTCTGTCAACCATTCAATTAACTTTGTCCGATTTCTTTTTATAAGTTGCACCGATGAGTGATGGTGCATTGTAGCATTTGGTCGTCGACGCTGACTACTGTCCAAGTCTCCAAAATGATGCTCGCATCCCAAGTTTGTATTGTGAGCAAAGAAAGTTCTTTGCAAGTCTTGTTTTGTTGGTGTTTTGGAAAACTGCCCGTCATCTATAAAGTCAATTAACTGTTTGTTGATTGTTTTATTCATTGCACATGCAACAAGTTTAACAAAGTCAAACATGGAGGACCGGTTGTTTTCATTTAGTTCGTTAAGGGAGTTGGATAAAGTCTTTTTATGCTGCACATGTACATCTTTCCACATACTATCACACAGAATGACAGCAGGATCATTTTCTAGTACTGTAAGGTACTCTTTCAATTTGGACACTTGTTTGAAAAGTTCAAGATAAGGGATGTCGGAGCTCGTAATAAGAGCCCAATATGGACCTGTCACTCTCAAGTAGAAAAGGCCAAGGCATTGAATTGATGCAAAAATACGATCATCCTTCAGGTCGGCAATAACTGATTTTAATTTCAAATTTGGGGACTTTACAGTTTCTAGGACATGTATGAAATGGGCTCTGTGAAGGAATATTTCTGCAGCAGTTTGGAATAAGGCATTAAATCGATTGTCTTTGTAATTGCCTATAATGGACTTTATACCATTAACAGCACAGTGTGCTTCCCACAAATCTCTAACACCATGATGGTCTCCTGATGGGCCAAAAACATCTGAAGTTGTCAACAGAACTCTTTCCACTACAGTTCCTTTTGTTCGCCAGTTCGAAAAAACCGACAGTTTATCACGCCCTAGAGCATCTTCCTCACATAGTTTAGCTTCCAGATCTTTCACATCCTTACAAATGTACCTGTGAAAACCTAGAAGCACATGGGCCATACAATGAAAATGCAGCACTTCATCTTGTTGTCTGTCATCACAATTGCCTAAAATGGAGTCGTGCCATTCGTCCAGTAATCTGTCAGCCTTTTTTTCATTGCTAGCCCTGTCGCTCATTGTAAAAGCTAACTTACCCAGCGTTTCTTTTACAAATTGATCTTCCGTTGTTTTTGAATTTTTTTGATTTAAGTTTGCAAGTTCAGTCACATGATTTTTTGTTACAAATTTTTTAAATTGTTTCGCAGTTTTGCGCACCTCAAAATTCCCCAAACTGGAAAATATTTTCTCCAGAAGGACAAAAGTGAAAAAGATGTGCCCAGAATTTTTCTTTTTTAAGTGTGGGGCCCAAACGGTTTAATTGCCAGTTCTCTGCCTCAAAAACAGCTTTTTAGAAATAAATGTTTTTTTGGGAAAAAATTGGGCCTTCTCGATAAATTTTTTTTGGGAAAAAATATACTTGTGTTTTAATTTTTAAAAGTGGAAAATTTTTTTAAAACCTAAAGCCATGAAAATTTTAGAAAAAGTTCTTTTAAAACCGTAGGGGGTTTTTTTTTAAAGCAACCCTTTTAAAACCCCTTAAAATTTTCACCAAAAACCGAACGTATTGTTTAAAAGTTCCATCCTTTGCCCCGAGTTTTCAATTTTTCTTTTTTTTATTTTTTCTTAAGGCAGAAGTAAATTGGATTCAAGTTCATCTATTTTTGCATCTTTTTCAGCGAGTTTGGATTTTAGTGTTTTTACAGGTTCATAATTATCACTCTTCAGTTTTTCTCTTAACTTTGAAGCTTTAACTTTATAATAGCTAGCTGTCTTTTGGGCATTTACTTTTTTTTGCTGATGCTGATCTATTTCCACATTGGAATTGATTTTTAAGGATTCCACTTTCTCATTTAGCTGGGCACTTATTTCATTTTCATTATCACTTTGTTTTTTCTGCCGCAGAAGCTGTCTTTGAGCATCACGGAGCAAATGCAAGTTTTTCTTTGCTGTCTCATCACGCTTATTTACGTTTCGAACAGAATAATGTCCTATTCTATTATTGAGGGTTTGTAACTGTTCTTTTGCAGTTTCAACTTCACGAAGAATACCTAGAAGGTTTTTGTTCTTTTTCTGGATTTCATAGTCAAACAAGTTAAGGGCTTTTCTTTCACTTTTACTACAGGGACTTGTGACTTTCTCATGTATAGGGGTTTTCTCTTTATCATATTGGGGTATATTGTCTTTGGTAAGGGGGGGTTCATTTCCTTCTTCAATGTGGCTTTTTTCACTTTTACTTTGACAGGGACTGTGCATGTGTTTATTGGGGCGATTTGGAGATTTATCATCACAAGAGTTCTGTGCATTTTTGCGGGGTGTTTGATTCAACTTCTTGTTACTTGTACTCTCAAAAACTTGACTTTTTAAGTCTTCTAGAGAAGTAATGCCCTTTACTTTTTTCTTCGATACCAATTTTTTTTTTATTTCAATGACACAATTTATTCGTGATTTCAATGTATTTATATTGACAGCTGACAAATCGGGATTTAAACGTATCAACACATCAACAATTTTTGTGCAGTTCTTAAAATGCGAAAACAGTTCCAAAATAACTCCATTTAATATGTGACTGTTTCTCAAAGGATTTATTTCATCAAGTGAGTTGATATGTAAACCAATTTGTTTACAAAATGGTCCAATATTGTCTGCTTCCATAATAGTATCTGATGTGAAGGCACGTCAATTGAATGGTTTTACTCTGGCTGATCAGTATTTCAGTTATCTGGAAAAAAAATGCAAGGTTCAGTAAACAGACAATAAAACAACAACGAACGTCACATGTAACATAATTGCACAAAGCATAAAACATGTTCGCATTTCCTTGTATGTTTCTAAAGTTTTGTAATGTAGCCATAAAAAATAATACAGCATTTTCCTGCAATAGGCCACTGGAAATTGACATTCTATAACAGTATAAGCAAATTATTAAAATATAACGGCAAATGTACCCCTCTATACTATAAATAATACTATAGAGGGGTACATTTGCCGTTATTTTTTAATTATATGCTTATATTTTTCAATTATTGATAGAATGTCAATCTCCTGTGAAATGGCCTTCTGGCAGTGATAGGTTTTTAGCCTTATTGAGGCTCATTTCAAGCCAATACTGACTTCAATTAAGCGCAGATATAAATTATTTTGCACAAGGACTGATTTTTTTTATCATAAAGAGTGATATATTAACAAATTTAAAACATCGGCAAAAGAAAAACAGCAACATTTTTTTTTTACACAGGCCGATATTGAGCAGGTACCCGCCGAGTCATTTTTTGGCGATTTAAGAAAGAAATACGCCATAATAAAAGAAATAATTTCATGAAAATAAAATTTAATATTATTAAAAACAATTACTAACAAAAATATTATTTTGTGATTGATGTACATAAGATAAATCGATGATCAAAATAATTTGATTTCACCACGTCGGTAAAATCAAGATGGCGGACGTAAACAATTCTCGATGGGCTGTTGATTTTCTGTAACTCGCTATGTTCAATCATAAATGCGGGTACTTTATCCTTAAAGGATTTTCATGATTTATGTATCATTTTAAAGATCATTGTTTACATTTTCTAGAACAATATTCGTTTTTTGATACTTACCGATAATTTTTATGTAAATTATCTAAAACTTCGGATCGTCGTAACTTTTTTGTTAGTAAACATATTTGCAAAACGAAATTTCCGGGATGAAGTGCAAAATTAATTCTGATTGGTTGTAAAATTTCATGAATATTAATTAGCAACAAATGACCCGCGAAAAAGGTCATGCACCCTACATGTGACCAGCGCGTGGCAGCAGTCAATAAACGTAAAATCGGCCGAAAATACCGCTGAATGTAAACTTTAACAGATAATGTTTAAAAAACATTTTATGAATGAATAATGAATTTTATTTCATATGAAAGATAATTTAATACTGATTAATTATATATTTGTTTTATTTTTGTCAATAGAAAAATAAGTTGTTTAAAAAACAATTTTCTGAACATAGTATCGATTTTTTGGCAAATTCTGAACACCGATGGCTTATCAGGTGGGGTTGCTACTCAAGAAGCAGACGAGACTCTTCAATTTCTCGTAGCGCTGCTATCTGGTCACGATTAAAGGAATCCACCAGACTAGTGAAGCCAAAGTACGTCCTTGGAAATGTCTCCAACCATTTCTTGAGCACAGACTGGTCACCTGTGAAACAATGTAGATGTATAGGGTGACGTGATCTAACGTACTTCTTTAGAACATGTAGAAGAAGTAAATATGCTTCTGTACCACAGTCACCCTCTATTCCACGACAATGAATAACCAGTACATGTCGTTCTTCCAACTTGGGCAGTATCGCTTCAATCAATTCCACCTGATAGTGCCAATACTTCATTGCTTGCATCCCATCCTCGTCGCCAATGTTGTATTTCCTTAAAACATAGCCTAAAGAAGGGAAAACAGGCCGGGAGCTTACCAAAGCTTGATCTTGATGTTGACACTTCGCCAGCCAACGCAGAACTCAATTCACTCAATCCTAGAACTATCCGGGCACTTTCCAGTCCCGCGAAAACCGTCGCGCATGCGAATGCAGTCCGGTAGGTCTAGGACCACTAAATCATTTCCTGCATTCACAACACCATTTAATAATTTCCATACTTGTATGATATCACCTCTAAATCTTCTGTAAGCCAACGTAGGAATTTCCAGAATATTTAATCTTTCTACATACGATAAATTTCTGATACATTGAACCATTTTTGTTGAGCACTCTTTTTGTAGAAAAAAGGGGTCTATTCAATAAGAGCTAGTGACTGGTTCCCGGGTTCCCTTGTATCTCTCAGCTGTCTCTGAAGTCTAGGGTCATGTCTATGTCCCCGCGAGGGGTTTGCATTAATGGAAGATAGACAGATATTGGAAAATAAAGAATTCATTGTTATCCGACTACTAGTCTAGTCCTAATTATAAAAGCTTAGCCAAGACCGAAACTTTTAATGTCACCTTGAGAAATATACACAAACATATGTAACACAATTCAATTACAATAACGGATAAAATAAATACTTTGTATTTACCTGAAAAACCGTGATTTTTACGGAGAAATTTTCTTTAAATTGAATTTAATTCTATTTCCGGTTGGCATTGGTGCAGAATAAAGTCTGTAAAATTGTAAACCGTACTTTCCGTATTTAAAAAATCCGTTCCCCTAACTTTCCGTGCACACGTTTGTCAATTGACAATTATCACATAAACACAAAAAGTACAAATTCATATTCACGAAAAGTTTATTACAAATATGAAACAAGTTTGCTGTTTTAAAAAGAAACATGCGAGTGGTCTTTTGCAGCTGTGGAAAATTTGTTTAATTCGAAAATATTTGGGATATTTTTGCATAAAAAGCGGAGTGAATGATTATAAATTACAATAATGTAACAAAATAGAATTTATTATATATATTGAATATAGTATTATAATGAAAGTTTGTTTTACACCTCATTTTTTTAATGTTTTGAAAGATTATATGCAAGAGAAATTGATTTTTTTTTCTTGGCGCATTAGAGATACTTTTTCTACAAAGCTAGGAACAATATATGTTATGCCATCAATCTAAATTTAAAATAATTGCTATACAGTATATATAAAAGTATACTTCAAAATAAAAGTTTCTTTTAAAATTCAATAAGCAGATTTTCGGTTAAAGGTTTGTTAAGTATATGGAAACATTTCCTCTACATTTTCCAAAACGGACATAGAGTATGTTAATCAAACAATTTTAAAGTGTATAAAGCTACATATCTGATGCCAAAAATTATTGTTTGGATTTAGCAAAAAAGAGAATACTTCTAAAATGGTTGTGTGAAATAAAAATGGCAATAAGATGCCTTAAAGCGAGTGGCGCATGCACAAAGTCATTGCTAAACAGATAAAATCCTACTTAAAATAGCAAAATAATATATAGTTCTGGAACATTTTATTCTGTTTACGTACATTATTCATGTGCATTAAATAACACAGACATTCTATGTTACAACTTTTTGAGTAATATAATAATTGAATCGATATAATTTTACTGTTGATAAATTTATTAAAATCATTCATAAGATAAAGATTTATACTCTTTAAGTCCCAGATTTACATAAAATATGTTTATATCATTTGATTGGAATAAACAGTATATAAAGCTGCATGCCTCCAACCACAATATTTGAAGAAAATTAAACTTGAATAAATTTTGTGCCATTTGCGCCAAAAAATATCTGTTGCGTTACTTAGTCATACCGGTTCAAGTACACTGTTCACTCGGTCATATAATAGTGCATGGTGTTATTGTAGCTATAATGTTCACTGTTACTATTCATTGGAACATGAAATGGTAAAACGCTACTCATAAAACAATACCGTAATCGATAAATACATTTTAAAAGATTAAAACGGAATGAAACATCCACGTAGCGCTAAGTAACGTAAAAGATATTTTCCGATTTTTTTTATGTACCGATTTGTTCACTTCGATGTTAATTTTTCGTTTAAGTTAAGTCGTATTTTGAAGCGGAGCATGAGCATAACAATTTTTGTAGACTGCTCCTAATGATTTTACGCTTTAAATGAGATTCATTCACTACAATCAGATACGCAAAAATGGATGCCGCCAGCACTGTGGAGAGGTCTGATGACCTCTCCAATAAGATTACCATAATGATTATTTTTTGAAAATAAATATTATTAATTTCTGATAATGTACGTCTACAAACTGCAATTGAAGTAAAATTTTCAATTTAAACGCTATATATATTTCTTAAGTCACTTTCGTATTTTTCAATGTGAGCGAAAGGAAGATCTCAGAAGTTGTGTACAGAAATTGTGCAAATAAATGAAGATTAACTCATCATATAGATTATTTCTTTTGAAAATAAATATTATTAATTTCTTATATACAAACTGAATATATTAGACTAAGTATAAAATTTCAATTTAAACGCTATATCTGATATTTTATAAGTCACATTTGTATTTTTCAATGTGGGCGAAAAGAAGATGTCATAACTTGTATGAAGAAATTATGCAAATAAATGACGATTATTTCATCATAATGATTTTTTTTTAAAATTAATATTATAAGTTTTAAATTATATACCTCTGCAAACTGCAATTTTATTGTGAAATTCTCTTAAAACGCTATAATTCATCTTTTTAAAGTTACTTTCGCTCACTTTCGTCAAAAAGTCACTTTCGTATTTTAGGCATACCGCTAGACTAATAAATAATATCAAGATTTCAATACTTAATACACGAATGATTGATACTGAGACAAACATCAAATTATGTTTCATACATAAAGCCACCAAACTGTTTGGAAAGGGTGTATACAAATTCCTTTAACACTCTCCTTACTGAAACTGATGACTGAGTGTTTAAAAGGCTGACCACATTGGCGCTTTTATCTTGCAGTTTCAGGGGGAGAGCCCTAGTTGAGATTCAGATGTTTCGAGCAAACAACTCTGAGTTAATATTATGCCACATAAAATTAACTTAACACACACACACACGCACACACGTACGCAAGCACGCACGTTCGCACACACACAATATAACGGAAAAACCTCGTGTTAAAATTTAAAAATTTAAAACATGGTAAAATGCCCAAATGTTACTTAAACTCCTTAGCTTGTCAAATGGTGACTCTGGCTTTTCTTGAACAACTTATTTAAATCCTTGTAATATTCTAAACATATATCTTTTGTCCTTTCTTTTACAGAAAATGAATATATGACATACTCGTATAATACTATTTAAATTAAGGACTAAAAGTTCAAGTCGCCAACTATTTGATAATATATTTACTTACATAGACAACTGCTATACAATCAAAAATTATGTTTCACTGTTTAATAACGATTGAAAAAAGTCAACAAGTAATTAATTGATAAAGATACTCCGATGTAAAAAAATATGCTGTCGAAAATGTTTTAATTACTTTAATTTGTGCTTGAGCGCGCGCGCGTGTCTTTGCGTGTGTTTTTATTACATTTGTATTTCTTTTTTTATGCTTTGCTTATCATCATTTCATTAATTTTATTGGGAGGTCAGGCAGGCAGTATATTTGAGGTTTGAAAAAGCGTTTTCACGTGTATTATTGCTAAAGACAAGTACAATAAGTCTATAACCCAACCAACGCATCCAAGTCGTTAAGCAGAGGTACTTTGACTGCAATGGACATTCAGTAGTGCCAGTACAGTCAGCTGCTGCTGAATCATTGTGTTTCTGGCGTACGTTTTTAACCTTCTAAGGCCACTAAAAGATATTTCAGCCGATGCTGGTGAGACAGATCTTGAAGATGATAAGGACTGGTAGTGTAACTAACATCCATCGAGCCGGTGACTAGAATGCTTTACTGTTCAGTGGATCCACGTATTTCTACAATATCTGATTACAGAAGTCTGGTTAGGTGACATTGCAAGGACCAAGTCGTGATAATGCATGCTCTGATGCTGTAACTAAGTCACAGTTTGGGTTTTGAATTGAATCATATGAAGGTCAAGTGGGCAAAACTACAGATCAGAGAGCAATGGCAATCAAAGCACAGCATTGCCTTTTTCTCTGGACATTGTATTGGAAACTATGTCTACTTGAAAATCAGTCAGGATGTCCGATATTACAAGAAAGCAGAGAGACTCTCTGAATATTGAGGCCATCTAGGTGTACAGAGTTTGCCATGTTGTAGAATGCTGACGTTTACCTTTTAGTGATTATGTACGAAGCATGGTGCAGTTTAATAACTCTTTCAATCGGAAACTGTACTAGTAACTTATTGAAACATATGACCATGACTATGAATACTGAATATGCTTAAATTTAAGTTCATTGCAAAATGTTCTCCTATCTAAACATTGATATTTTATACGCACGTATATTTTGTGTGTATTTGGCTCTAAGTATGTGCACATGTATTTATAATGTTATAAAGGACTCATAAAATTATCTTATAAACTTGGAAATAAATCAGCAGCACTTGACATGTTATACCAAGTGAACATTTACCACCGCCACATTGATTTGCATATTTGCCAATGATATATGTTTACAAAACTAAATACAGATATTTCAATGATATTTGTATTATCTATCTGCTCAGGTCAGAGCTGTATCAACTTTCTTTAAATAGCACCAAATAGATAGAATAAATAAAGTTTTAAGCAAAAATCTTTATACCTTTATATCTTTTTAGTATCTGTAATACCCAACTGACTGTAATACATCATATACATGTATATGATTTCTTTTTTCAAATAAATATATCGGACTTCTTGCTAACTAGAGTATGTGTATATAACTTCCTGTTATGTAGCTTCGAGGATTTATAAGTTATCTATATCGATGGTATAGTTTATGATGTTTTCTTCCTATTTTCAATAATTCAAATTAAGATGTTTGTTAAAACTCTTACCTACATTTAAATATGGGACTATATTTTTTGTTTTCTTAAAATTATAATACATTTGCAATTGATGTGGACCATAAAGCTGTATAGATATATGTTGATGCTTGATTGTAATAAATTTCTACTTTATAACGAAACATTGTGGTCCAAACACGATATAATTCTATTCGATCAGTATTTATTTGGCTATATGTTTCCTTGGAGTGTTTAAGTATGGGCTTTTTGAATTAATGACCTATAATGTGGGCAAGCATGTCTTTTGATTGTTAATGAATATTTCCGCCTTATATTTAATTTATTTCATAAATAATCTATCGCTTCAACTTAACCAAAATAGTGTACATGTCAATTTAAGAAAATTATCAGTACTCATAAAATCATTTAGATGATTAAATTGTATGCTAAAACAGAAAAAAAAACGGAATATTGTTGACTGGCATAAGATGATTGAGATTCATTTTCATCAGCTACAGAGTGGCATAATTTGTTATCCAAAGATGGTTGTTATTTTCTTTTGATTTAATGTAATGTCCTCTCGAATAACTCAATAGGGGAACATAGGGTTCATAACAGAGGGGTTGCTGCTTTGATTCCCGGGTAAGGTGAAATATGTCGAGACATATCAAACATTGAGTCTTATGGTCAGTTGTTCACACCCATGTTGTATTAGTTGTCGGGAAATTAGAAATTACTGGTGAGTTATCCAGGAAATCCAGTTAGGTGGATCTGATAAAAATGTATTAAAATCGGCGTAAAAACCAGACAAACATACACTGCATTATGATGGGTCTAAGTTTTGGCTAATATGCCAAAATACACAATATGTAGAACATATATTAATATAACAAGTAATTGATTTACTTCATATATCTGTTGCATATTCTCACTCTTAATCACATTCCCTAGTAGGCTAAGCATTTTAGCCAAAACTTAGACCCAACGTAAAATAAATTCCTTCAGAAAAGATAGATATTTGCATATTTGTTATCACTATATATGTGTTGCTACAGAAAAAAAGTTCTTAAAAATTCGAAGTATAAAATGCTCAAAATGTCATGTCTTGAAATCATATGATTTTTTTTTTAAATTTGAAAATCTATGGAATAAAAACCATTTATTCTACGGAAATATGGTCATTAACAAAATAACACATTAATACACAAACATGCTTTATTTTAATTAAAAAAACTTTCATTAAGTTCATTACATTTAAAAAGTTTTAACACTGCATAATCTATACATTATAATTCAGACTGGTAACCACATTCGTCACAATTGTGCATATAACTTCCTGTTTGTGAATTCAGACAGACATGGCTGTTATGGTATGTTACTTTTAACTTTTTAAATTTTAGTTTTTATTGACATTTCTCAGATAATAATTTATTATTTAATCTCAAAATGTGTACAACATTTTAACCATTGATTATATTTTTTGTTGTCTTGAAATAAGCAAAAATTTGAAATCGAAAGTTAAACGTATAAAATATCTGTAATTTTTTTCTGAAAATCGTCGATGCAAAGTATACGTGTCATCAGGCCAGGACTGATATGTATTTTTTGTTAATTAACATATAGATTTCTCGATTAAACGAAACAAGTTTTTCCGGAATAAGTTACATGATATTATTCTATCATTTCAAAATAAATGTAAAAATCGATATTTCATTGCGAACTTGACGTAAGTGATATATGAATGGCCTTAAATCTCTTAAATGATCAAATGTTATTATTACACATTTGATTAATATTTGCGCCTTATATTTCATTGTAATTCATATCTGTCATCCGTATTTTATCCAAAACTAATGTCATTAAGAAAATTATCAGAATCATATATGTACATTTACGGGTAGATAAACATTTTAGGATGATTTTTATCGTTTTTCATTCGTCAAAGGTATCCTGCACCTTTTTTACAAGCTATGAAAATAGATACAAAATCCATAGCTAACTCATACCGCAGTTTACAAAACTACAACAACAACAACAATGACAAAAAAATAATGAAATAAAAAATAGCACTTTTAATGACTATATAAACGGTTGAGGTTATCCGACAGTTTTTTACCAGTGAAAAGCTAACAAAATACATAGGAATAAACAAGTTAATGTTTTGGTAAGTTGCAATTTAGGAAAATGACCTGAAAAAAATAATTTCCCTCGGCAAAACGTAATGTCATCTGAAGTATTCAGGATTATACGTAAGGATTCAGTGCTTAGCGAGGCATTTAGCTGTGAGAAAAGGGAAAAAAGTAATATTAAACCAATCCAAATCATTGATTTAAAGTGAATAAAATAATTTGCAATATCATTTATTTGTAAAAAAGGTTGCTGAAGAAATATTCTAAATATCATTCTGGGACGTTTTTATATATAAAATCCAGACTACAATTAGTTTCAACAGTGCTTACAGTATTTCATTCTCTTGAACGAGTTTATATCATTTATCATCTCAGTTTATATACGAGATAGTATGTTTAAATGCACATACAATTGTGTATGCCTTTTTGTAAAAGTTTGCTTCACAGAAAATTACTTTATTCATTTCACTCAACATTTACATGTACTTTGTAAAATGTGTATTTCCTCCTTTCATTCAATGTTTCTGGTTTCCTAGTGTTCCCTATGTATGTTTTGTTGACCAAACTTCTGAAATCATATTTATATTGGACATAGGCTTCCGATTCGCAGAAGACCACAAAAAGACTTCTTGTTGGAGCGATAGACTTAGGAACGACCTTCTCCGGCTGGGCCTTTTCTTTTAAACACGACTATGATTCGGATCCGACAAAAGCAACGACAAAACATTGGCAGTCGAAATCAGGTACATTAGTGACAGAAAAAACACCGACATGTGCACTGGTAAATCCCGATGGTAAAACACTGAAAGCGTTCGGGTACGATGCAGAAAACGAATATCGAGAATTACTTGATAAAGGAGAAGAAGACAATTATTTCTTCTTTAAGCGATTTAAAATGAAACTCTATTCTAAGATTGGCAAAGTACGTTTGTATATATCTTCATATCCTGATATCCTTGATCAATTTCTAAATATAAAGAAGATAACTGTCTTATACACGACTCCTCCGATAAGGACGTGTCAACCAATAATTCACTAAGCATATTATCGGGGTTTTGTGATGCAATCACAATTGGCAGTAATTAATTCAATGAAGCTACATGTATACTTAAAACAAAGGTCAAGTGTTAGTTGACACTCGCAAAAAGTGGATACTTTATCTTCATTATCTTCATTACATCTCAGTGATTTTAGATTTTTCTCCTTTAAAAAAAATATATTCTGTTCTTTTTTCATATTTTCTTCGATGTCGTGAAAACATGATTAGGACAATCAGAAGAGAAATGATTTGGACATTACTTTAAACTTTGGGCGTGTTTACGACCTTTCGCCGCGGTAATTTCTTGATTTTATTTAATGCCAAAATAAATCGTTGCAGTCTTAAGTTAAGACATATGAATCGATATTTCTTTTTATTAATTCCGGTTTGAAAGAAATACTTCATTATATGTATAAATGTTAATCCAGGACTTAAAACGAGACATGACAATCGAAGACGAATTTGGCAGACCTCTTTTAGCAGCTGATGTCTTTGGAATGTCAATCAAATTCTTGGTAGATGACATGTTGAATAATGCTGGCAAGGGAATAGATGGCATAATTAAACCATCTGAAATTCACTTAGTTGTAACAGTTCCTGCAATATGGTCCGATGCTGCAAAACAATTCATGCGTGAAGCTGCTGAAAAGGTAACAATATAGACATTAACGTGGACATTTATATTAGTAATTCACATGGGAAAGCACGTTTTGCAGGCTGAATTTATTGCTTTCGAATGATTTCATTTTGTCAGAACTTAATGCTTAGTTAGCCAGTAAGAGTGAGGTAAATTACTCCAAGTTTTCATCATTGAAAAACTCCTATTACATAAATACATATCGAAATAATATAGTGTCTCTTTAGATATTCTACAAATCTTCTATCATCAAAATCTAGTAAACGCTATGTGAACGGCACAAATAAGCATTCAGTTCTTTTGAACTTCATTTTAGTCATGTTAGCAAATAATAAATCGAACAATAATTGTTTATTATTTTCTTAGGCTGGTATCTGTAATTAACAATTGCATAAGAGCTAAACGAACTATATTTAATAATATTTATAGGCTGGAATAAGTAAAGAACGACTAACAATTGCACTGGAACCCGAAGCGGCTTCGTTGTATTGCAGGCATGTTCATATTCATAAACCTGGTGAGATTGGCAATGTATCCATGAACAAGTTACCAATAGGTACCAAATACATAGTTGTTGATGCAGGAGGTATTGTTCTTTTTGATGTTTTATAAACATTGAATATTTCTTTGCATATAACAGATACATAGGCCTCACATATGCAATTATATCAATATTTTAAATGACATTCTTCCTATTGCAGAATGATTTTATATTAATAATTTACCATTTTAATGAAACTGCTCGATATAGCCATAAGTTTAGGTTTTTGTATTGACACTCTTTAATTTTGGCGAATCGATTTCTTTTCCACACAAAAAGCTGACGAGTGTTGTCATCCAAAAATTGTTCCGATGTGGTATACGTTTTGTAAACGTATTCTAAGTTTACGTGGATCATATGCTTAAAATTGAAAAAATGATCATTAGAAATTCAAAAATATTTGCGGAACTTATTTTAAAATTTGCTATAGCTTATTGTTTTTTGCATTGAATAAATAAAAATAATTTAAAAAGAAAGATGCATAAATTATTAAACCGTTAGAATTCTTCGTTTCTTGTTTCCAAATCTAAAAAACAAGTAAATGCCTTATTTTTGGTATTGATTTAAACTGAAGTGAGGCATATATGTACAAGGAAACAAAACCAAAGCATGGACGTTTTAAACTTACCTGTGAACATTTAAATTATAATGGTTTGTTTTTCTCTATTTTATGTGATATGCAGGCTCAATAACCTCAGATCCCCGCTTTCAAAATTCCATTTTATTTAGTTCCGCCCATTGTTTTCTCGTTTAGGGCACTTGCATTTTTTTACTTGGGGACCATATGCCGCTTTTCATGGAATGGCACTAACGTGTCACATTGAAGGTTCCATGCTAACCGTCATATAAACACATCTGCGGATGTTTCAAAATTCTAAATTTTACCAATTCATATTAAATGTTGAATTCTGCTTAAGGTGATTCCGCTTTGTCAGCCATGTTTGTTTTCACAAAGTCTGTCCAAAGTGAAAGTAGGCCAAAATTCATAAAACAACAAAGCTCTTATTTTAAAATGATGAACCATTTGAAAGTACACTTCCAGGTTTATATTTTAAGGACAATTATAAACAAAAATAAAAATGATAACAATAAGAATATTTACCTTGAATGTGCTACATTTCTGAAGACCAAAAACATTCTGTTGCAAAGTTTTATGCACATTTCATGAATGGCAAAATCCTTTTTTAAGTCTGTTTTAGTGCCTACAAAAGCTATTTTTTGCAGCAAATACAAAAATCTTTCAAAATTTAACTCCAAATAAATCCATATCTCATGTCCTTTTAAGCACATGGCCTCCATTATTTTTTGTAAAAAAGTAGTGCAAGAAAACAATCATCATTTATAGCCTTATGAACTACAATTAAAATGAAAACACAATCAAACTTTAAAATCTAACCTTTTTTATGTGTAACAGTGAAGTGTGTCTGTTTGTCATGTACACAAGAGATAGATAAATGATGTTTATTTTCATGGTACTACTTTTTTACACATGTCATGGTGGCCATGTTTTTTCAAGGTCAGATAAACTACTTTTCTAAGGTTTATATTTTTTAAAGTTTTTTGTATTTGCTGCAAAAAGTAGCTTTTGTAGGCACTAAAACAGACTTTAAAAAGGATTTTGCCATTCATGAAATGTGCATAAAACTTTGCAACAGAATGTTTTTGGTCTTCAGAAATGAAGCACATTCAAGGTAATTTTTCTTATTGTTATCATTTTTATTTTTGTTTAAAATAGTCTTTAAAACATAGAACTGGAAGTGTACTTGCAAATGGCTCATCATATAACAATGTGAGCTTTGTTGTTATATGAATTTAGGCCTACTTTCACTTTGGACCCACATAGTGAAAACAAAAATGGCTGACAAAGCAGAATCACCTTAAGCCGGTGCTAGGGGGCGTGGACGGTAACTTGCCCTTTCCAGCACCGTCCATAACCAGGCTCAATCAAACTGTGCCTGCAACATTTTACAATTGGGCTTTCTTTAGGGATTCTGTTTTCTCTATTTTGAACTTTTTTACATTGTTATCAATGGTATCATATGTGACCTACACGTTTTATTTTCTAGGTGGAACAATAGACGTAACAGTGCACGAGACAGGAAGTGAGCATACATTGAGAGAAGTAAAACCTGCGAGTGGTGGCGATTGGGGAGGTATAATGATTGACAAGGAATTTGAAAATTTGCTTATACGTATAGTAGGACAAACTGTTTTTGAAAAATTCAAACACGAAGAAAAGGAGGATTGGATTGACATGCAACGAGAATTTGAGTCACGGAAACGAGAGACGACTGTAGACAGTGACGGGAAAACAGGGATGAGAATACCTGCATCACTAATTGATCTTTACAATCAAGACTCACAGCTTGACCTTTGTACTTCATTAGCATCGTCTCAGTATGATGGTCTGATCGAGCTTAGAAGGGATAAAATGAAAATTTCTAACAAGGTCTTTGTTCAACTATTCGACAAGTCTGTGACAAAGACAATTGGTCATCTAAAGTCAGTGTTATCCGACGGCACACTGAAAGATGTGAGAGTTTTACTGATGGTTGGTGGTTATTCTGAATCACCGGTTTTACAACGTGCAGTAACAGAAGCATTGTCTGGCATTAAAGTCGTGATACCTGTTGACGCTTCATCAGTCGTATTAAGAGGTGCTCTAATATATGGACACAATCCTACGTCAATAAGTGAAAGGATTCTCAAGTATACCTATGGTATTGATATCGCACCTCGTTTTAGAGAGGGAGTTCACCCAGAGAGCAAACGATTTGAAGGACCAGACCATTGTATTAGATGTGCTAATGTCTTCGGCAAATTTGTTACAACGGGGCAAACCGTGAAAACGGGCGAAACACAAAAAACAAAGAAATGTTGTGCATATAGGCAGGCGGATGTGTTGGTTAAAATCTATGCTTCAGAGAGAGAAGACCCCGTTTACTGTGATGATGATGGATGCCTTGAGATAGGAAAACTAAGGATAGCGTTTGATGATGAAAATAATACAAGTATGAGAGAGGTTTCCCTGTCTATGTTATTTGGTGGGACGGAAATCACTGTTGAATTGGAAGACAAATGTACTGGTAAGAAGAAAATAACCACTGTTGATTTTCTTGGGTAATATAGAAAAACATTTTGAAAAGAGAATTAAAAGAAAAACAGACAAGACAAGAATTTTAAACGTTACAACAAAACATATGATAAACAAGATCAACAAGGAAAGGCGGCGTTTAATGAACGCAACCCCCATATGACCCAGCAACAAGAACCAATGGCAAGGAGCCCAGGCGGACCCCAAACAAGGCAGTTTAGAAATATTTTAAGACAGCAAGTTTTTGCATATATATTTACTTCAGTCAATGTACAATACAACTTATTATACAAGATAAGGCAATGGCATACATATATGAAACAAATCAAATATTTGATTTTCTAGAGACTAATAAAATACTATACACTATTAAAATGTATATGCACAAATCGATCGACATTGATGAGTATGTTTAAATTGTTATTGTCACACTTAGGTCTCATACCCGAACAATAGAATGTGAAAATTGAAATTTTGATAAAATAAAATGCGTATTTTCATTTTCTGTATTTTCACTCCAGTGAAACATGTTATATTTTCCGTATTTTCAAGGTAGTCCCTCCGTCGGCACTTTTCTAAATTCAACTAAAAACACAAAATTAAAGTAAGAGTCTTTCGAGACGTAAGGTAAAAAAAGCTATAAATACGGGACTTAATGTGGTATGAAAATTATCATGGTTACCGCACTAGTGAAATACATATCACCACTCGATGAAAATAAATCCTCTATTTATAGAAAAAATCTTGAATGTTGATTTTTAATATTGAAGCTAAATGTTTCTGAAATCATACACTTCGAATTACTATTTTGAAAATAATGACGATGTTTTGTTTTATATTCTATCTCAATTGAAATTAGAATTAGATATAAGAATTTAAATGCTTATGTGGTATAATGGATTAAAGACGCACAACTTGAACTTTTAATTTTACTGAAACGCTTTGACAGGGTTTCTTTTTTAATATAAGTGGGACCATCTAGTCTACATAGACCTTTGTTTATCAGCAATTATAGTATCAAAACTTGTACAACTTTTAAAAAATTGTTAAACTTTCATATGCTGTAAAGCCAACACCTCATACCGTGCCAAGCAATAGACTGACATAAAGATGTCATATTGAATTCGACATGGGTGATAATTTCTGACGTCAGATTGAAGTAATCAATAAACTGCTGTAATTAAGGTTAGATTCTTTTTTGTTAATAATAATTTCTGCTCAAACGTTAAGAAAAAACAAAACAGGATAACTTAACCTTTAGAAAATTCTTCCAGTTTTCCATTCTTCGACCCGTTTTAAGATTTGAATATTTATCAGTTTTATGTTTAATAAGAGACGAGCAATGTGGAGGTTGTTAAAATTATGTCGTACATTCAATCAGAGATGATTCATTGCCGATCCTCGAAGCTCGTTCAACATAACATGTTGTGTTTGCGGTTTTCTTTTAAATTCCAGTCAGTGGTGATCAAACATCAAGAGATACCCATTTAAAGATCATAGAGACTACCGCTTGACATAAATTTTAAAGAACGGACACATGAAAAATATGTCGTTAACAAATAACACTATTACGAAAGTATTTGCTTTTCATGTTCATTTGTGATAATGACAAGCCAGCCACTTAATTGAAGCTTTTTTGGGGGTTCGTCAGTGTTAAATAGTACAACAAGAAACATGGCAATGCCATGAAACCAGGTTTTCAATTATCACCATTGTAGATAAATATGTTGTAGCTGAAATACAAATACAAGCGACAAACAATGTAACTATGTGCAATGTAAATCATAAATAATGAATTTTCTATTTTTAGTAACTGTAACCTTGACACTGGAGACCAAAAAGCCATCCCAAGTGAGGTCTTCATAAAAACTTGCTTTATACCAAATTTCATAAAAATATCTTATTCCAAACTAGTTATTGACCGGAAACCTATTTTCTATTTTTAGTAACAGTGACCTGACTGGAAACAGATTTTCTATTTTTAGCAACAATGACCTTGACTCTACAGGACCCAAAAGCAGGCAGATGAGCTTGCAGGCATGCAACAACCTAGATAGTTTCTGTTTTATAACTAAATAAAGTTTGTTGTGATTAATAGGATATATTACACTAATAATTAAATTTTATGGAAAAACAAAGGGCCATAATAAGGTAAAAGGTAAAAACTTATCCAATCATAAAACCCTGACAATACACATCAGGGCACTTGAAGATAAAGCTAATCTGTGAAAATTTGAACAAAATCCTTTGAGAAATGTAGAAGCAGTTGGGCAACAGAAGAAATTGGACACTATATACTCTATAAAAGGGTAAAACACAAAGGGCCATAACCCCCATAATTAGGTCAAAAATTATCCAATCACAAAAACCCAACAATATGCATCAGGGCACTAGATGACAAAGCTTCTGTGAAAGTTTGAACAAAATCCCTTGAGAAATGTAGGAGGAGTTGCGCACGGAAGAAATTGTTCACTGTATATTCTGTATATGGAAAAAAACAAAGGGCCATAATTAGGTCAAAAATTATCCAAACACAAAACCCCAACAGTATGCATCAGGACACTTTATGACAAAGCTTCTGTGAAAGTTTGAACAAAATCCGTTGAGAAATGTAGGAGGAGTTGCGCACAGAAGAAATTATTCACTGTATATTCTGTATAAGGAAAAAAAACAAAGGGCCATAATTAGGTCAAAAATTATCCAATCACAAAACCCCAACAGTATGCATCAGGACACTTTCTGACAAAGCTTCTGTGAAAGTTTGAACAAAATCCGTTGAGAAATTTAGGAGGAGTTGCGCACAGAAGAAATTGTTCACTATATATTCTATATAAGGGGAAAAACAAAGTGCCATAATTAGGTCAAATATTATCCGATCACAAAACCCTGACAATATGCACCAGGGCACTTGATGACAAAGCTTCTGTGAAAGTTTGGTCAAAATCCGTTGAGAAATGTAGGAGGAGTTGCGCACAGAAGAAATTGTTTACGCCCGCCCGTCCGCCCATCCGCCCGCCCGCCCGCCGACATACCTCAATCTAATAACCAGATTTTTCCTTCGGAAAACCTGGTTAAAAACGCATATAAAACGTTTTTGTTTTCGGAATACCTGAGAAATTTGCCTAACTACTCGGGTCATGCAATTATAAAAAGTAGCAGAATAAGAACATTGCAAAATATGATTCGGAGGGAGGAATCAGCGTTACCTTTGAGCTTCATTCGGCAAGGTGGCTGTACAAAATAAAGATTATAAGAATTAAAATAATTTGCTGCCTATCAGTTTACCATGTAGACATAGCAATTCGGCAAATGTCTGAGGTATCCAAGAAATTGAATTCTATCATATTCTTGATTGTACTACTTCATCTAGGTAAAACGAGCAGACGATTCATCTCAATCTATCCTTATTAATTTGGCAAACTATACAGTATATTTTGCACATTACTTTCAATCCATCTATTCATTGATACATTAAGTCGACATATTGTCTTCTGTAGTAGTAGGAAACTACTTCAGTATTTAATCAATTCATATAAAGATGATTTTATCTCATGAACGACTATATAATATACATGTTTGGTAACTATGAAATGCACGATAAGTTGTATAAAGGGAAATAACGTGGCAATCTATCACACAGATAACATATGTATTACCATAATCTATCACACTGAGGGTGCAGAAAATTGGTTATTATGTCAATTTTAACTTAATTAGTCATTTTCTACGATTATAAATATAATTACACTATGCTTTAACATGATAATACTTTTTCTGCAGAAATTCACTTAAGCACAATATTTAAGTCTTACGAGTTTACGTTTTGCCAGTGAAGTATTACAGTTAATTCAAACAGATTTCATGTTGCTTCTAAAAGATATTACTTTATTACTTGGCAAGTAACATATTTTGCATGTGTATTTTCTTGGCAAAATTAATGTTTATTGGTGTTTGTAATTGTTTTTATTGCTTGTTTGTTTGATTTGTACGTTTGTTCTGGCGTGGGACTTCGATCCCCGGGAGATGCTTTGGTAGTTTAGCGCAGAGGAAGGTAGTCTAGTATTGATGTAACTCTCCAGGAACGATGGTTAGGAAACTACCCGCCTACATGACTGAAATACTGTTAGGAAAAAAATGAAACAAACAAACAAAGTACGTTTGTTGTTTCTGTAGTTTTTTTCGCTGATGCATGTAGCAATCTGATTTTAAACTAGATTGTTAATTTGTTTGAACTTAAACATAGACTACAATTCGTATAAGTTTGTTATGTTTTGTTTATTTTTCTAAAAATTATTTGTAAAGGTATATAACTTTGAAAATTGGTAACTTAGACAGATAAAATAATTAATGGAATTTAAATGTTGGTATTTTGTCAACATAAATTTTCGATATTAGTTACAACAAATAACGATTTTATTTCTGTCAATTCAAATTATTTTACTAATATGTACTGTGTAAATGTAAACATGTATCATTCAATAATACACACATTCTTTCTAGGACAAATTTGCAAAATGTCAGCAAAATACTCAGTAGGTTGTTTTTGTTTTGTTCTGTTCTCATGTGCATTATATACATGTACCTTTATCATCATACTTGAGGAACAAGTTTATTCCTATCTCATTATGTTTAGTATTTACGTCTCCGTTATTTTGTTATCTAGCTCTGTTTTACGTTACCTTCCCGTTACCAAGTCTCAGTCGAGATGTTACCTTTCATAACTCGATCAGTCCTATAGTCGGTCAGAGTTTATTTAGCAGTTGTACTGTACCCTTATAGATGAATGATATAGTAGCTTATTGATCGGCTATTGAGCTGTCTAATAATGGAAGACAACAGTTTAAGAATCGTGTACAGTTTAAAGTTACATTTTTGCAAGAACTCATTATATCGTTAGTTACAGTAGTATTACATTACACTTAACTTTGAGAGTTAAATATAGCTTAGCTACAACACATTAAAAGTAATATCGGTGTTACATCTTCTGTCATTCTTTATTGATATGCAATGACGGCAGTCAAAGGGAAAACACAAGCAATTCTAACCTGTTTACATTAGGTTGAATTTGTTTATAATTGTACAGGCATATTTAAATAAAAAAAATGGTTGTCAGAATTATTATTAATCATAATTGTACCGGGACAGACTATATGTTCCTTTAGATGTCAAATATATACATTCGTCTTACATTATCGAAGATTACACTCTCTGTATCTGTTTACATCTGAAACCACGTGGTAGAACTACTTTCACTGTGAGATTATTATGAATAATAGCCGAGGTTGTTCCGATTGGGTAGATGTACCCAACATCCATCGAGTGGGAGACTGGAATGATTTGCTGTTAAGTAGATCCACAGATATTTGCCATATCTGATAACAGAAAGTCTGATCCACATTTCTCATTGCTTAGGAGACCAATTAGTGATAATGCATGCTCTGATGGATTTATATGAAGGTAAAGTGGGCAAACCTACAGCTCAGACAGCTTTTTCTCAGGACATTGTATTGGTAACCATGTATACTTGAAGATCAGTCAAGATGTCCGATATTACAAGAAAGCAGAGAGACTCTCTGAATATTGAGGCCATCTAGTTGTACAGAGTTTTCCATGTTGTAGAATGCTGACGTTAACCTTTTAGTGATTATGTACGTAGTCTTGTTCCCTGCCTACATTTACTACGGAACGTAGTATATGGGGAAGGAACTCCAGACTATTATGTACGAAGCATGGTGCAGTTTTCTATGACTCTTGCAATCGAAAACTGTACTAGTAACTTATTGAAACAAATAACTATGGCTATGAATACTGAATATGCTAAAATTTAAGTTTTCATTGAAAAATGTTCACATACCTAAAATGTTAATTTGACCATTGATATTTTATACGCACGTGTATATTGTGTGTATTTGGCTCTAAGCATGTGCAAATGTATTTATAATGTTATAAAGGGCTCATAAATTATCTTATAAACTGGGAAATAAATCAGCAGCACGTGGCATGTTATACCAAGTGAACATTTACTACCGCCACATTGGTTTGCGTTTTTGCCAATGATAGATGTTTACAAAACTAAATACGGATATTTCAATAAGTTTTGTATTATCTATCTGCTTTCTTTAAATAGCACCAACTAGATAGAATAAATAAAGTTTTAAGCAAAAATCTTTATATCTACTCAAGATCTGAAATACCCAACTGACTGTAATATATCATAGATAAGATTTTTTTAAATAAATATATCGGACTTCTTGCTAACTAGAGTATGTGTATATAACTTTCTATTATGTAGCTTCAGGGATTTAAAAGTTATTTATATCGATTGTATAGTTTTTTGATGTTTTTTTTTTCTATTTTCAATAATTTCAATTAAGATATTTGTTAAAACCTTACCTACATATAAATATGTGACTATATTTTTTGTTTTCATAAAATAATAATACATTTGCAATTCATGTGGACCATAAAGCTGTATAGATATATGTTGATGCTTGATTGTAATAAATTTCTACTTTATAACGAAACAGTGTGGTCTTTATGTATCACCGAAACACGATATAATTCTATTCGATCAGTATCTATTTGGATATCTGTTTCCTTGGAGTGCTAAAGTATGGGCTTTTTGAATTAATGGCCTATAATGTGGGCAAGCATGTCTTTTGATTGTTAATAAATATTTGCGCCTTATATTTGATTGTTTTCATGAATAATATATCGCTTCAACTTAACCAAAATAGTGTACATGTCAATTTAAGAAAATTATCAGTATCAGATGATTAAATTGTGTACTAAAACAGAAAAAAGACTGAGTATGGTTGATTGGCATAACATGGGTGACATTCATATTCATCAGCTACAGAGTGGCATAATTTGTTATCAAAAGGAGGTTGTTATTTTCTTTTGATTAACTGTAATGTCCTCTCGAATAACTCAATAGGGAAACATAGGGCTCATAACAAAGTGGTGGCTGCTTTGATTGCCGGGCAAGGTGAATTATTTCCTGATATATTATACATCGAGTCTTAAGGTCAATGGGCTCCCATGTTTTATAAGTAGTCGGTCACTTGCGAGAAATAAAAAAAATTAGTGATGAGTAATCCAGGAAAACCAGTTAGGTGGATCTGATAAAATGTATTACAATCGGTGTAAAAACCAGACAAACATACACTCCATTATGATGGATTTAAGTTTTGGCTAAAATGCCTATCCTACTAGGGGATACTGCATTATGTTGGGTCTAAGTTTTGGCTAATATGCCAAAATACATAATCCAATATGTAGAACATATATAAATATAACAGGTAATTGATGTACTTCATACATCTGTTGCATATTCTCACTCTTAGTCACATCCCCTAGTAGGATAGGCATTTTAGCCAAAACTTAGACCCAACTTAAAATAAATTCCTTCAGAAAAGATAATGTTTTGCATATTTGATATCACTATATACATGTAATTGTTGCTACAGAAAAAAGTCCTAAAAATCCGATGTATATAATTATATAGTCTAAAAGAATTTAAAGTATAAAATACTCAAAATATCATGTCTTGAAATCACATAATTTTTTAATTAGAAAATCTATGGAAATAAATACAATTTACTCATTAATAAAATAACACATTAACACAAAAACATGCCTTATTTTAATATAAATACTTAAACAAAAGTTCATTACATTTAAAATTTGCAACATTGCGTAATCTATACATAATCATTCAGACTGATATAAAACATTATCCAAAAGCATTCGTCACAAGTTTGTATTTTACTTCCTGTTTGTGAATTCATTGACATTTAGTAGGAAGACATGTCTGTTATGGTATGTTATTTTTAACTTTTGATTTTTCTTGAAATTGCTCAGATAGTACTTAATTATTTAATCTTAAAATGTATACTGCATTTTAACCATTGACTATATGTTTTGTTTTCTTGAAATAAACATAAATTTGAAATCGAAAGTTATACAAATAAAATATCTGTAAATCAATTCTCAAAGTCGACGCTGCAAAGTATTATCGATAGGTGTCATCATGCCAGGTCTGATATGTTATTTATCATGAAAATACAGATTTCTCGATGAAACAAAACTTTTTTTCCTGAATAATTTATACTTGGTAATATTCTATCATTTCAAAATAAATGTAAAAATCGATATTTCATTGCAAACTTGACGTATGTGATGGCCTTAAATTTTGAGAAGAATGTCTCTTAATTAATCAAATGTTATTATTACATATTTGATGAATATTTGCGTCTTATATTTCATTGTCTCCCTGTACTTATCCAAAAATAATGTACACTCAATTAAAAAGGGACTCCACTGAGGTTAAAAAGCGTAAAAACATAACATTTGAATTTCTTATATAAATGAGCTGGGACACTTTAAACAGAAATACATACAAAGATAGTTAAGAAATATAATTTGAAATAAATTGAAAATCGTATTTTTATGCTTCTCTTATCTCGATTTAAGTAAAAAGCGTTTAAACGCTTTTCATTTTGAGTCATTGTTTTACAATTTGAATAATTATTCAGGAAAAACGAAGTGCGCGAATGATCTGAAATTTTGCACAAAGATTAGTGTTCTAAACCTACATCAAATGGTACATTTTTGTGGAAACATATTTTCAGTCCAATCATGTCAAAAAACCTCAGTGTAGTCCCTTTTAAGAAAACTATCAGAATCATATATGTACATTTAATTAATAAAGTAGGTATTTCGCCGGATAGATATATTTTTGGTGATTTTTCATCGTTTTCATTCATCGAAGGTATGCTGCAACTTTTTTGTACAAACTATGCAAATAGATATAAAATCCATAGCTGACTCATACCGCAGTTTACAAAACAACAACAATAACAAAAAAATCACACACACTTTTAATGACTATATAAACGGTTTTGAGGTTATGCCTGTAAACACGATTAAAGAAAAAACTAACAAAACAAACATCGATATGAATAGTGTATACATACGAATCATAAGGTTAATGTTGGGAAAGTTGCAATTTAGGAAATTGAACTAGATAAAAGAATTTCTCTCCTGCAGTAATACATGACAATCTGAAGAATTCGGGATTATACGTAAGCGAGGCATTTAGCTGTGAGGAAAAGGAAAAAACAATATGAAACCAATCGATATCATTGATTTAAAGTAAATAAAAAGATTTTGCAATTTATTTTTTATTTGTTTAACAGGTTGCTGACGAAATACAAATGATAATATCTAAATATCTTTCTGATACGTCTTTATATAAAAAAATCAGAGTATGTACATATAGGTTCAACAGTTCATAAGGTCAATAGTTAATTAATGCCACCGACTCATTATTTCATTTTCATTGAACAAATTCATAGCATTAATCTAATCATCTCAGTGTATTTACGAGATTTGTAAGTTTAAAAACATAAACACTTGTGTAGGCCTTACATAGCTTTTTGTATCAGTTTACTTCATAGAAACGTACTTTTTATTTCAATCAACAATAACATGTATTTTGTTAAATGTATATTTATCCCTATTCTTATTTCATTCAATGTTTCTGGTTTCCTAGTGTTCCTAATGTATGTTGTGTTGGCCAAACATCTGAAATTATTTTCATATTATGCACAGGCTTCCAATCCGCAGAAGACCACAAAAAATCTTCTTGTTGGAGCGATAGACTTTGGAACGACTTACTCCGGCTGGGCCTTTTCTTTTAAACATGACTATGAGTCGGATCCGACAAAAGCAAAGACAAAACATTGGCAGTCAAGATCAGGAACTTTAGTGACAGAAAAAACACCAACATGTGCATTGGTAAATCCAGATGGTAAAACACTGAAAGCGTTTGGGTACGATGCAGAAAACGAATATAGGGAATTACTTGATAAAGGAGAAGAAGAATATTATTTCTTCTTTAAACGATTCAAAATGGAACTCTATTGTAAGATGGGCAAAGTACGGTTTCATATATCTTAATATTCTTTATCAACTCCCAAATATAAAGAAGATAATTATTTTACTCATGAAATCTCTTATAAGAATGTGTCAACCAATCATCCATTGAACGATCATCATCAAGTCCCGGTAGGCATATTGTCGGAGTTTGTGATGCAATCACAATTGGCAGGAAACCTGTTTGGACAGTTATTGATTCAATGAAGCTATACTTAAAGCAAGATAACGGGTACTATGTTCTTCATCCAGAAGACATATGAATCAATATTTCTTATTCATTCCAATTGAAAGAAAAATCTTCATTACATGTTTAAATATTATTCCAGGACTTAAAAAGAGACATAACAATCAAAGACGAATCCAGCAGACCTCTTTTAGCAGCTGATGTCTTTGGAATGTCAATCAAGTTCTTGGTAGATGACATGTTGAATAATGGTATAGATGGTATAATCAAACACTCTGAAATTCACTTAGTTGTAACAGTTCCTGCAATTTGGTCCGATGCCGCTAAACAATTCATGCGTGAAGCTGCTGAAAAGGTAACAATGTAAATTTAAACGTGGACCGTTATATTAGTAATGGGCAAGCACGTTTTGCACCCTGACTTTACTGATTTCGAATGATATCATTTTGTCCAATATGACTTAAGTTCAGATCTACTTATTTCTTTTATGCAGATCTGATGATGACCGTATATGTTTCGCCTTAACAATTCGGATTTCCCATGCAATCAATCCGGTTTTTACATTGGCATTAGAAGAAGTATCAAAATACCGTTATCCATGGAAGTTTAACAAATTGTTGATTTTGTTAGGAAAAAAATGTTTGAAGTAATTTTTAACAAATTATCTTGAAATAAAAGAGTAAATCTTGATGGACAAGATTTTTTACCTGTCGCCTATATGGACAACGCGAAATCGTGAGAATTACCTACTCACCAGTATTGGTTTTCCCAGCGTTAGAATTTGAAACAACATCGCTTTCAAAATTTTGAAAGTTCGCCGATGATTGGCTGTGGTAAACAGAAATGATTTCGTTTTTGGTCACGGTCAGATCTAGAAGCGGAGCGTTATTTATAACTGATTTTAATCACAGTGTTTTTGTCAGAACTTAATGCTTATTAAGCCAGTATGAGTGTCGAAAATTACTCCAATATTTTCATCATTGAAAAAACTCCAATTAAATTAAAATCAAAATAAAATAGTGTCTCTTTAGATATTCTGCATAATCTCCTGTCATCACATTCTAGAAAACAGTATGTGAACAGAACCAAATTAGCATTTAGTTCTTTTGAATTTCATTTTAGTTATGTTAGCAAATACTAGTAATTAATCGAACCATAATTACTTTCTCAGACTGGTATTTGTAAAGAACAACTAACAATCGCACTGGAACCCGAAGCGGCTTAATTCGTTGTATTGCAGGCATGTTCATATGCATAAACGTGGTGAGATTGGCAATGTTTCGATGAACAAGTTACCAATTGGCACCAAATACATAGTTGTTGATGCAGGAGGTATTGGTCTTTTAAATATCATTGAATATTTTCATTTTACAGATTCATAGGCGTCACATATGCAATTATATCAAAATTAAAAAATACATTTTTCTTACATTTGCTGAATGATTTTGCTACTACTTATAAATCAGTGTACTGATACTGCTGGATATAGGCATAAGTTTAGCCTTTTCCTTTTGTCGAATCGGTTACTTTAGTCACACAAAAAGCTGACGAGTGTTATCATCCATACGATTGTTCCGTTGTGGTATACGTTGTGTAAACGTATTCTTAGTTTGCTTGGATCATATACTAAAAATTAAAAAAAAAAATCAAAAAATATATGCGGTAATTATTTAAAAATTGCTATAACTTATTGTTTTAGGCATTGAATAAATAAAAAAAAGAAAGATGCATAAATTATTAAACGTTTAGAGCTCTTTATTTCTTGTTTCCAAGTCATGTTGCTTTTTTGGTAATAATAAAAACAGAAATAAAGCATATATGTGCAAGGAAACTTAAATGAGACAATGTTTTCCTGAAATGATCAAATTTTTAACAGGAACGTTTAAAACTTACCTGTGAACATTAAAATTATAGTGGTTTGAACTTCGTGACATTACTATCGATGGCATCATATGTGAAATACATGTATTATTTACTAGGTGGAACGATAGACGTAACAGTGCACGAGACAGGAAATGAGCATACTTTGAGAGAAGTAAAACCTGCAAGTGGTGGCGATTGGGGAGGTATAATGGTTGACAAGGAATTTGAAAATTTGCTTATACGTATAGTAGGACAAACTGTTTTTTTAAAAATTTAAACACGAAGAAATGGAGGATTGGCTTGACATGCAACGAGACTTTGTGTCACGGAAACGAGAGACGATTGTAGACAATGAAGGTAAAATAGGGATGAGAATACCTGCATCCTTAATTGATCTTTACAATTAATACTCACAATTTGACCTTTGTACTTCATTAGCATCGTCTCAGTATGCTGGTCTGATTGAGCTCAAAAGAGATAAGATGAAGATTTCTAACAAAGTCTTTGTTCAACTATTTGACGCGTCAGTGACAAAAACGGTTGGTCATTTGAAGTCAGTGCTGTCCGACGGCTCACTGCAAGACGTGAGAGTGTTACTGATGATTGGTGGTTATTCTGAATCACCGGTTTTACAACATGCAGTATTAGAAGCATTGTCGGGAACTGAAGTCGTTATACCTGCCTGCGCTTCATCAGTTGTTTTAAGAGGTGCTCTGATATATGGACATAATCCTTCTTCAATAAGTGAAATGATTCTCAAGTATACCTACGGCATTGATTACACACCAATTTTTATAGAGGGAATTCATCAAGAGAGCAAACGATCTGAAGCTATAGACCATAGTATTAGATGTCGTGATGTTTTCGGTAAATTTGTTACAACTGGGCAAACTGTGAATATGGGGAAAACACAAGTAAAGAGAATATGTCATACACTTTCAAGTAAGCAGAAGAGTTTGCGGTTTAATATCTTCGCTTCAGAGAGAGAAGATCCTGTTTACATTGATGATGACGGATGCTTTGAGATAGGACTACTGAGGATAGAGTTCGATGAGGAAAATAATACGAGTCAAAGAGAGGTTTCACTATCTATGTTATTTGGTGGGACTGAATTCATTGTTGAAGTGGAAGACAAATGTACTGGTAAAAAGAAAATTACCTATGTTGATTTCCTTGGGTAATATAGTAAAACATTTTCGAAAGGAGAATAAAAAGAAAGGACGAAAAGACAGGAGTGTTAAACGTTACTTCCACGCTGCTAAGATATATTTTAAGACATATATGCATAATTCAGTACATTTGCGATACATATTATTGTACAAGATAAGGCAATGGTATACTTATATGAAACCTTTTATATACTAGATTTACTAGAGACTAAACAGATACTATACACTATATATACACAAACAAATCGGGATTTATGAGTTTGTTTAAATTGTTTTTGTTTAAAAATAAGTCTCATACCCTAACAACTGACCGTGAAAATTAAAATCTTGATGAAATAAAATGCGTAATTTCATTTTCTGTATTTTTAATGTAAAATAAAAATTAATTTCACTGCAGGTACACATATTTTCAGTATTTTCACAGTTGTCTTGCCGACTTTCTTTTCTAAATTTAGCTGAAACACAAAATTAAAGAGGTAGTCGTTCGAGACGCAAGGTAAAACAGCTATAAAAAATCATGGTTACCGCAAGTCCTGAAATATATATTTTCATACCACTCCAACAAGTTCTTTGTAAAGGGTATTTAAACTACAAGCAATTAAAGAAAAACAACCTGCATCTACTCTTTACTGAAATGACTTGAAAGATATACTTTTGAATAAAAGTGGGCCATTTAGCCAAGAGTCATTAAGACTCTTCAATAAGAACTCACACATAAACCTTTATGATCAACAATTTTTGAATCACAAATTATACAACTTTTACAAGTTGTTTAAATTTCGTATGCAGTAAGGGCTACACTTAGTTCCGCTTCTTGTGTCTCATAATACTAAGCAATGAACTGACGTACAGATGTCATATTGAATTTGACCTCGGTGTTATTTTCTGATCTCAGGCTGAATTAATCAATACAAATGATGTAATTAAGGGTAGATTCTTATTTTTTAATATAAAACCCTGCTTAAACGTTAGGAAAAAAACAGGGTTAGTTTACATTTAGAAAATTCTTCCATTTTTTTTTCCATTCTTCAACCCCTTTTAAGCTTTGAATATTGTTCAGTTTTATGTTCAATAAGAGAAGAGAAATGTGGCGGCTCTTAAAACTCTGCTGTACATTCAATCAGAGATCCTTTAAGCTCGTTCAACATAAAATTCTTCTTGTTTGTGTGTTTTTTTAAAATTCTATTCATTGGTGATCCAACATCAAGTGATACCCTTTTAAAAATCATAGAGACTACCGCTTGACATAAATTGTAAAGAAGGGACATTTACATCATTGAAATGAAACATGAAAAGTCTGTTGTAAGCAAATAAAACTATTACGAAAGTAGACGCTTTTCATGATCTATTCGTGATAATGACAACCTAACTGAAAGATTTTTTAGTTCGTCAGTGTTAAATAGTACATAGTACTCATATAGTACTTTATTTGTTTTTGGAATACATGTACTTGAGAAATTTGCCTATCTACTCTAGGGTCATGCAATAATGAAAAGTAGCAGAATGAGAACATTGCAAAATATGATTTGGAGGAACCAGCGTTCCATTCGAGCTTCATTAGCAAAGATGACTGAATCTAACAAAGATTATAAGAATTAAAAAAATTTGCTTCCTATCAGTATAAATAATGTTATTATTAATGATGGACGATTGGTAAAATAATTCACCAGGAAAAGGGCACTGTTCAGTCATTTAGGTGAGTGTAGATCAATAAGAGCAAACAACGTTGATACCCAAGTTTGATAACCAGTTCTATACCCAACTATTTAAGACTATTTGAATGTCATCGAGTTGGACATCAAATAGCAATAGGGCAGAAATGTTATGCACACAAAGTCTGTTTAAGAGATTATTTAAAGTTATCAGGCTTTATATCATCACAAGGTTTGCTAACCCCTTATAACAACGTTTGAACGTATATAGGCAAATATATTAGAAGGGTAAGTAATGTGAAACTTAGCTTTAAATTTTAATGACATACATTTCATCGAATATAAAGAGAAGTGAATGTTACAATTCGAAAAGTTGTTCATTCATACTTGATCATAATAATTATAAAAAACCAATATTTTCATATATTATCTTAGCTTTTATTTAACTTCTTGCTATTCTCGCAATAAATAGCAAAAGACAAAAAAGTTTTCGATATCGTGATGCCGGTTAGATTTGACGATACTTTAAGGAAAACTTATTACTGACAATGGAAATATAATAATCTTCGTTTTGATAAAGAATATAGAAACAAACGCTTCTTTTCTGCATGTTGAATTTCTTCATGACCTCAAATGAATATTGGACAGCAATAATATATATGTGTGGTTACTTTGGTACCATTGTTGCATGTCCATTTCCTTTTACCTTAAAGTTTGTTAACTAAAGTCACTTCAAGTTAGACTTATAAAACACAGTGTACTTTGAACACAAACGTTCTGAATTTGAGCTATATATAAAGCCACTTTTGATAATTCATACAACAAACTTTGGCAATCCAAAGCGCAACATTGAGCATGTTTCACATTCTTCAAATCCCAGCAGGCACACAACGTTGTTTCAATGTAAGGTCGTAACGTTGATTAAAGATTCTGTATGTTGCAATTAAGGTTGTTACCACACTTAAGTGAAATTTTATATATGTATATAAATATGCCTCTTAAACAATTTTTAAACATCGTATTATATGTAAAATATCTACTGCAAATATTTCTCCACAACATTAAAATGTATGCGTTCATTTCTATTGAAAAATTTGACTAAGATTTTATAGAAAATAAAATTCTAATTACCTCAATTTATTAACATGAAATGAAATGTAAATCCGGTAATATCTTTACAAATAATGCTTTTTGGAACTAAGAATATTGATAAATCTTCATTTGACCATTATATTTATGATAATATTTATGATAAAACCATAAAAATTGAGTTACAGGACCTTTAACCAATACCAACTATGGGCGAAAAAATTACGTTAAAAGTTAATTCGTATATCTGCATTTATATTTAGTTTGAATGAAAAAAGCTGTAAGATTCATTGCATTGTGAAAAATAATGTTGAATAAACTCGTTGATGAAATAACAATTGATGACCCTGGCTGAAAATGAGAGTAATACTCTTATAGCTGTATATTATTCAATAAACATAGAAAGGACTGTCAAGTATGTTAAAGTTTTTTTTATCATTTTGTTATGCTTATTGTTTAGTGTTTCTACAAAGTGAAATAAGGGATAAAATTGTAATATTTAGCATTGCTGTTTTATTAAGTTATATATATCAATTACGGGATTTTTCGTTTTTCTTAGTAATTTAGTATTTCTGACGATTTACATTTGTTTTACTTAAAGATACTGCATATTTGTCTTAGCTAGGGTCTCAAATGAACATAACTTTGAAGAATGCTGCAAGTAAATATTGGGGAACAGTTTGTATACCAATCAAAGTTTAAGACTTCACAAAACAGGCTTCAGTGATTTCAAATGTATACTGTGAATTTTTGAGAGTAAATCAGATCACTTAATTAATAAAATATAAAATTTAAATTGACAATGTCAATCTAAACTAGTTAAAATCTGGACAAAGTGTGGTCCCCCCCCGAAGCATTAATCACAGCAAAATTACATGAAAATTACAGACTCAGTTTGATTGAGAATAATGATAACGTGCAACATCCCTCATGCACCCTTGCACCGGCTGGAGTGGTACTAAATCTTCAACACTTAAAAGTGTTAGAATCAATGATCCCGTAGGGCCAGAAACACTAACATGAAATACGGGACAATTTTTTGCAGCTGTTACACAGAATTGTCCTTATTTTTAAATGCAGAAAAGGTAATAGAAAGCCAAATGAGCTTTCAAACAACATCATGAAGCACTCAACAATTTCCAAAAAAATCTATAAGAGATGGTCGATAGCAACAGATTGCAGTTCAAGACTTAAGCTTAAAGACTAAATCATTTGAATTTAAGCTTCATTTTAAGTCTATTTCTGAAGTAAAATACTAAAGTTCAATATTTTCTTTACTTGTTATTGTTATGTATGCAACATATTACATGTATATAATTTATATCTGACCAGTTGGTATTTCCAATATTATCATTGTTCTATTTTTAGAACATAAACTACATGTATGTACTATAACTTTCTTGACTGTTGTAGAAAACTCATGCATTATATTTAGATAGAAATTTCTGGAATGATCTTTATTGTTGAAGTTGCTAGATTATGATTACTGTAGTAAATGGAAGACTATTCTAGAAACTTCTTAGTTAATATATATAAGGAGACATTTTTCATTACTCCTATCTTTAAGTCATCAGTTACCTTTTAAGTCATCAGTGATGTTTTAAGTCATCAGTTACTTTTTAAGTCATCAATATATTTGGAGTATTATTCAAATTGGATATTAAGTGAATTATTGGAGCTTGGATTTTAAAATAAATTATTCTTGTGGATTTTATTGTGGGAATTTATTCTTAAGTGTTCTTGGATTGAACTTGGATTTAACTGTGCTATTCAAAAAGGATCATTCCAGGATCAGACTAGACATTGTAAGATTTCATTTTAATTTGGACTTCAGGTATTTGTAAACATAATTTGTTATTTTGATTTTCTTTATTAATTTTTCTGTAATAAAATTTGTTATTGTTA